TTGTTTGTGCAGCCCGGCTGCTGGAAGTCCACAAGTCTTAAAAAGTTGTCAAGGTTGAGGACCCCTGTAATCTAGCGCTCTGCCCACTACTGCAGGGCGATTCTACTGCCTTAAGTCTTTCCGATCAGCCAAGGTCGGTTAAGTGCTGCCACCTATGGAGGCTCAATTCATATCGCACACATATTGCCTGTGCGATTCTCATGCAAACCTTTTCGCCAGATTACCATTCAGAGGTAGTTGTAATGTAACCTGTCCTTTTCCAAACAAACAAGGTTGGGCTGGGGGGGAGGACGGCGGGGGGGGGGGTAGACTCCTAGCGGTAGCAAAGATCACATCTCGTTGCATTCCAAACCGAAAGCTCCGAGCTCAGCTCCGTTTGCCTTTTTATTCTACAATTTTTACTCGGGGTTGGGGAAGGGCAGGGGCGTTGCTGCTCGCCCTGTTCTGAGCATGCCTGGACGCGACTTACCGCGAGAGGAGCCTGTGGGCGGGCACCGGAACGTTGGATTCTTTCGTCCCGGGATTGTTCTTTGCACGCGCGACCTTTGCGGAAGGTTAGTCCGGACGGCCCCTCGCATCGCTTCTGAGTTGCTTTTTTACCCCTTCCCCCCTTCAAGTTGCCCTTTAGCGGGAGGGAGACTGGAACTCATGAGCTTCGTCTAGCTAACGCATTTGCAGTAGCCCAGTGTTTCCCAAACTTGACAATTTTAAGGCATGTGGACTTCAACTCCCAGAATTCCACAGCCAGCATTGCTGGCTGTGGAATTCTGGGAGTTGAAGTCCACATGCCTTAAAATTGTCAAGTTTGGGAAACACTGCAGTAGCCCCATCGACCCCCGATTTGTTTTTAGGAGAAGCGGGGGGAGAATTCCAGGAGGAAAATCGGAATCGTTTTTTTTTTTTTTTAGTTGCACAAGTAGCGCGGGACGTAGCGATCTTTCCGATTTGCACACTTTAAACCGGCAGGGGCAAGTGTACAATTGGTCCGACGCAGGCACAGAAAAGTGGTAGTTTCTCTCTCTCTCCAACTTGGAAAACGCCCCGTACCGTATCTGTGGCGATGAATAGGCCACCTGTGGAGGTGGCGACGAATAGGCGAAGCCGTGGAGTTACGCAAACCCCGTTCTTGCGCCTTGATGGTGCCTTTTCTGTGTCTGAAATTGGAGTTAAAACGTCGCGATGAAGTATAAACCGGTATCAAAGATGGGTTTTGTACGACCCATTCGGCTAAAATGTGTGTCCGCTGCTCCGCGACCCAAGCCCTTATTAATTTGCAAGGTAGTTCTCAAGATACGCAAACCAGATTGGCATATAGCTTGTCCAGATGACTAAAGCAACGGAGAAAGCATTCTTGAGTGCAACACACCTGGACCTGGGTCAGCTGCTTTTGAAGAACTGCGTGTCTTCCCCTGGCTGGCTAAATTTTGTAGGACTTTGTCCCGAGATTCGGTTTCTTTTTTTTCCAACGGAAAGCGAACACCCTTTTTCCAGCATAGGTAAACATTGTTTCGTCTTTTTTTTAAGTCGGTGGTATGAAATTTTTACAATCGGTTCACCCGAAAAGAAAATTTGAATACTTTTTTAAAAATCTGGATCTGGATTTGGTATTTATTTGTATTTATGTTACAGCATGAGTGTGGATTGGATTGGCTATGGTTATGCTGCATTGGTTGCCTCCGGTGGAATAGCTGGCTATGTAAAAGCAGGTATAGTATCCCCTTGTGTTTCCTCTTCTGTCAATTTGTTAGCTCAATAAAAATGTATTTTGGAAAGTCCTACTTCATTACAGCTTAAGATAACAAAACCAATTACTAGATTTTTCATTTTGCCAAAAGCTCCTGGTGGATTTTAAAAGTAGAAACAGCGCATACTCCATTTTACCACAACACAAGCCATCAAGTTCTGGAAGTTATCTTTTTTTTTGTTTCTAAGAACGATGCAGCCCATAATTCCAATTTAAAATACTTTAATTCCCAACCTTTAATATAAACTGCCAGAATGCTAGGAACCAGGACAAAATTCTTGGGCGTGAATGCAAACAGACAGGCAAGATTTACTATTCAAAGCTTTGTCATCATAAAGAGAATTACGCTTGTTGCAGATTTCTCCTTGCAACAAGTTTTGCAAGCCCTATGTAGCATTTTCCCTTATTCCTCCTGTGTCCCTCCCCCAAGGATGGCTAACTTGTAGCTTTGATAAGAAAATTACCTCCTGCCAGAGCTTATTGCAAGGCTTGCTATAATTTGTGGGGGACAAAACACAAAGCAGCTCTCTGCAGTTAAGCCCTTTGATGATCTCTCCCACTAGGGTAGATAGAGCTGGAAGAACTACAGCTGCAGTTCATTGGGTTGACACATTTCATCTTCTAACCCAAGTTTTCTGTTATCTGCTTAAACTAGGTAGTGTCCCTTCCTTAGCTGCTGGTCTCCTCTGCGGTGGGTTAGCAGGATTGGGTGCTTATCAGCAGTCAACGGATCCAAAGAATATTTGGCTTTCTCTGTGTAAGTATTTTTATTGGATCACTATTCCACACACTGAGACATATTTATATCTTATGTATGTCTACGCACCCACTTTGAGATTACTTTCAATACATGTATTCCTTTTCCTTTTAGAGCAGTGGTTCTCAACCTGTGGGTCGGGACCCCATTTGGGGTCGAACAACCATTTCACGGGGGTCACCAAACAAGGCTGTCCGCCATTTTTCCCCCTTTGGCCACGCCCCTGGCACCCGGTGATGTATAAGTGGTTGGGGGTCACCACAACATGGGGAACTGTATTATGGGGTCGCGGCATTAGAAAGGTTGAGAACCACTGTTTTAGAGTGTACTTAATCCAAGATTAAATTAATGGTAAAAACATAGAACTATGACGTATTTAACTATCTCACTAGATATTCAAGTTTTCACCTGTGACTTGTCATCTTTTTTGTTCACCTTGTAATTTATGTGCATTATAAGCTATCGCTTTATAAAGGCATGCACTATTTCTACATTTATGCATACAGGTAATCCCTGAGTTATGAGCGTTCACTTAATGCTCGACGTTACGTGACAAGCGTATTGCAGCACCATGGCAGGTGTTCACCCTTACAAACAACTGCAGAGGCTCTGCAACATTCACCCTATTCCCCCGACTCCCCACAACTGTTTTCCCCTCCCCTCCTGCCACGCCAGATACTCACCTTTCAAAACCTGTCTCCTCTCTGCCGCGGCTTCCCTTTGAGAGAGTCGAGTCACTTTGGAAATGCTTTTCACGCCGAGAATGAAAGCTCCTAGGTGCCGTAATATTGCACAATGTTCAAACACAAATCCTCTGCAAAAGACATCATGGCTCCCAGAAGCTTCCTTTCTCGGGGTAGGGGGTTGTTTGCTTTGGTTGCATGCCTATGGGACAAAGCGTGGAATCAACCAGGCGTAGGAACCAATGCCATCCGTTGCCCAGGTGTGCTGCTCACTTGTGTGCACCGGCCATAAGAGGGCAGAAACAAAGCCTTCAACTAAGTAGGGAGGCATCACGGTGCCAGGCCCCTTGCACCTGCATCCAAGCCATTGTGATGATGGCGGCAGCCACCTGAGTGGCCATGATCCCCCCTCCCCAGCCAGCCAGCTACCCTGCCCGACCTACTCATTGCCTAACCAGCTGGCTGGCACAAATGCTGACCGCTTTTCTCGTCGTCCTCCCCACTCAAGCAGCTCCATCTGAAATGAAGAAAGTGGAGACGCAGCAGCAGCAAGATTGCTCTCAAGACCTGGGTGCGCTGCTCACTCGCGTGCGCCAGCCTTATTAAAAGCAGTCCCACTGCTGCACCTCTGCTTTTTTTCACTTGTGTAATTTGCATTCCAAATTAATTTTATCGGAGCAGCACACTGGAGGCTAAGTCATTGCAGAACAAAGAGATAAAGTAAGAATTCCAGATTCATGTCTCTGAAAACAGTCGATGAAGGCAGGAAGTAGCAGTGTGATTCGTACCCACATAAAAGGAGGTTTCTTATAGCATCACCCCTTTCCTGACACCATGGTTGTATTTGGTTGCACATAGTCTCAAATGCCATAATTAATACACCTGATTTGGGTCACTATATTTTTTTTCTAGCTGCATCTGGAACCCTGACTGTCCTGATGGGAATGAGATACTATAACTCCAGGAAATTTATGCCTGCAGGGTTAATTGCTGGTGCCAGGTACAATTCCTATTTTCCCATTGTTGTGGAATTATTATTTGGAGACAACAGAAAACTAGAAAATGGGGGTTTTCTTTGGATAAACACAGACATTGCCAAGAACATATTTAACATGTAAGCCAGTGGTTCTCAACCTGTGGGTCGGGATCCCATTTGGGGTCGAACGACCATTTCGCCAAACAACACAGTCTGCCATTTTTTCCCCCTTTTCCTTAGCTGTGCTACTCCCTTTTATTCTATTGGCTTTTGAAAGCCAATAGAATAGACTCTCTTGAATAGAGTCTAATTCTATTGGCTTTCAAAAGCCAATAGGAATTGTCCAGGCTGTCTCTGCCCTGCTGAGCCCGCTAAAAGTCCCATTCTGCAAACGGTGCTGCACCAGTTGAGTACTCCTCGACTTACGACCGGTTGGGGGTCGCGGATTTAAAAAGGTTGAGAACCACTGATGTAAGCATTTACTAGCAAAATTTACTGACACGTTAATTTATTAAGTGGTATATTAATAGTGGATTTCTGTTTTTATTTAAACAGTCTATTAATGGTAGGCAAACTTGGACTACAGATGTTGGAAAAACCTCTTTAGCTATAATTGCAACAACAAGCAGAAAGAGGCCTACAGAGACTGCCCTCACAATGCCTATTCAGAACGCCCTCACAATGCCTATTCAGAACAAAACTGAAGAGAAAATGCTTTTTAAAATTGTACAATTTGCAAAGTTTTTAAACTTCAAAATCTGCTCAGTTTTGTAAAGAGTCAGTCATTACATGTATGCATTTCTTGTCACAACCCCAAACGTTTTATGATGATGAACATGAGAAACGCAGTAAACAGTGCTGCTAATACCTTGTAGGAAATACACTTAATTTTGTGTTATCATATTTTCAAGCTGAAGTTCATCTCTGTGTATATCTGTATGTAAGGTGTTCCACTCAAAACAAAAATTATTAAATGTCTAAAAGCCTTTTGAACTGTGAGTCTTATTTCCTAATTTTAAACAAATGTGAATTCCAATAATTTTAAGTTGTAATCTTTTAGGGCTGAAGGCTAATTAGGCTAATTTTATGTGTACATAGAAACAGAGACTGGTATTTTTATCAACATTTTTCAATGAGTCTTCAAATGTATTACTGAATTAATTCAGAACATACCAACGCATGTACAACAGTAGTATCTGTATCCACAGATCTCCTGATCATTCTTCACATTTTTATACAATTGAAATTAGATACAAACAACCTTCAAGTAGTCCCATTGAAATAAAAAGATTAAATTAATTATGTTTAGTGGTTTTACTTTAGATATAATTAAACCAAGAGTCCAAGCTATTGCTTTTACAAAGCTTGAGAACATTTCACATGATAGTCTTCATACGGCCAGATGAGTCTCTATGAGAAATGGGCATCCCATTTGAAATTACTGAATGCTATATATGTTTAAGGTAGGATTTGGCTTTCCACACCCAGCAGTTCACTCAAATGTCATCTGATTTGGTCATATTAATAATGTATATAAAAGATAAACAATTATCAACAGGTCACTTCTAAAGAAATGTCCTTTCCCCAATATTTAGAAAATAATGGTTTGAGTTTGAAAATGTAGACTTCTACTTTTCTCACGTACCCAGAAATAAAACCATTCTTGTACAAAAGAACTTTGTTAGTTTCAACAGTAAACACTGAGGTAATACAAGATTCATGTCTGATGACATGATAATGTCCTTCTGTGAGGTGTTTAAAAGCATTTTTAAATCAGAATTCAGTATTGCAGGTGGTCCTCAACTTACAACCACAATAGAGCCTGCTAATTAGTTGTAAGTTGTGATGGTGGTAAAGTGGGCCATTGTGTGACCAACCCAAATTTACCTTTTTTTGTTTTTGCAGCAATCGTTAAGCAACTACCATTATTAAGCAAACTCATTGTTAACTGCGGGGTATGTATTTGTCAAAAAATGGAAGTAAAAATCAGCTTTTGACAAAAATGCTGTAAATTGTAGTCAGGTAATTGTGGGAAGCTGCATATACAGCCATAAATGTGGGGCTGGTCGCCAAGCACCCAAAGCCTGCAGTCATGGGATTGAGGGAAGGCCGGCCTTCGGAACCAGGTTAGAAGTAGCTTTTGGGAGAGTCTGTTGTAACTAAGTGACCAATCACAAGTTGAGGACAACTTGTACTGTATTCTGATATACTGATAATACTTTATTGCAGGGGGTCTTCAAACTTGGCCCTTTTATGACTTGTGGACTTCAACTCCCAGAATTCCTCAGCCAGCGTGCCTGGCTGAGGAATTCTGGAAGTTGAAGTCCACAAGTCATAAAAGGGCCAAGTTTGAAGGCTCCTGCTTTATTGGATAAGAGTAAGGGCACAGATTAACTTAAGCACAGGCAAGGCCTTCTTTCTCGGTACAGAATTCCATCTCTTATTTTAAGGAAGAAAGCCTCAGTTCAGCAAAAGCAAATGCTGAGTATTTTTGTGGGAAAACACTTTTAAACACTCATATTTTAATAAAATTAAGCAAAAAAACCCAGTTCTTTGCCAGAGCCACTATCCAGTAGTAATTTTTTCACATCACCAATGTAAACTTTATTTTAGGTCACTATATGCAAAGGCATCAGGACTAATTTACATGTCTACAGTAAATCCTAGTTAGCGCTATCTTTCAAGAGTGTATAAAAAGACCAGTTAGTGCAAAAGGCAGAAAGTTAAGCTGCTAATCATGATACCACGATTACTCTTGGGTGTACTGAAAAAAATGCAAATGATTATTTTCCAGGTGCCACTCTAAGGGCATTTTTAACTTCTTAAACCTAATATGGTTTAGGCTTGATAATCTGAGAGATTAGCTCTCTCTGGGCCTTAAAGATCAGCAGAGAAGACCTCACAAAATGTCTGACTTCCAAAATCCATTTATCAGGCACATAGGAGGATGCTATTCCATCAGTTCCAGGCTATGGAACATTACTGCAGATTTTACACTTGACTTTTTTTCCTGCTTATAAGAAAAGAATCAAGTTTTTCCTCTTTGGTCAGCCTTTTAAGCTGGCTAGAAATTACTTTAGTTTTTATTTGTATAAACATATTTTATATGAATAAATTGTTGGTTGTATTTTTTATTTATTTAGTCTACCAACCAGCTTCAAAATACCAGGATAGAAAATCAGGCTGTACAAACAAATATTAAGGTATAAATAAATAAATACATCGCATTTTCTGATGGAAGACTTCTATAATATATATGTGGTGTTCCTGAGAAGTTCACTTTATAATAAAACAAATTATTTTCAATTGAAAACCAGCCCAGTTGCAAAGGCAACTTTGTGGATTTTTTTATATGAAACTTTTAGGTAGATTCCTTTAAGTCAGCATTTATAGCAGTGAATTATGTAAGTTTTGAGAGACTGAAATAAATCAGTTTAATATTCCTGCTATTCTGCATTGGGATAAAATATTGTACACATAACAGCAACTTTTAAAATTACTCAATAATATTAATTGGCCTTTATATTATTAATTCAAGGATTCATTGTGTAAATACACTTAGCAGTAAATCCTACTGAAATTGAGACAGCATATTTATGTGCATTCTACTTTAAGTCTTAATTCAAATCAAACATGTCCTCCACAACAAAAATAGTGTAACATTTTAAAAAATAAAACACATACAAAATACTTTTCAGTATGCAAATAATATTTTACAATTGAATAATAATATATAAGTGCTATTTAACAAGTATAAATTGTCAATTTCAATATAACAAATATATTTAGCAGTTTGAAAAGCATTGTTTTAAAGTGACTTCTTGTTAGATAAAGCAAGAGTTCTTATATATTAGAGAAATCACTAAAAATGTGAACTTGAAATACCACGACAATTTTAGGCCATTGTTACTTATATTCAAAATATTTCTTTAGGCCAGGTAATGCTATCAATGCTAGACTACAGAATTAGGTTTGAAGAATAAATTCTGGCAGATATTACCAGATTTTAAGCAATTCCTTTAGGAATTAAAAGAGATTTCTGGAGTTATTCAGCTCTAGTTACCAAGTGAAGGCACTACAGTTGACTAATTCTGTGATCAAATTCAACTAAAAATAATTTAGGGAAAAAGCAAAGTTACAAAGTTACTCAGACTTCCTGGAAATTATTTCAGAAATACCGCCAAAATGCCTTCTTAGAGAACCACAAGTAATAATTATTTAAATGCTTCTTTTCTGATTAAATAATGCTACCTAGCCTTCCCAGGAAAGGATCCTTCCTAAATATCATTCACTCATAATATTTCCCAATTGTAAGGCCAAATCTGCATATAATGCCCTAGAAAACTATAACCTCAAGTAAATGACTCCACAGATACATTAACTTTCTGTTTTCCAAACACTTCTGCAAAGAAAAATTTCCCTCCTTTCAGAATCAATAGTAACAGTTGATATATGTCTATAACTATGTCTATGCAATACATGATAGCCCTGTAAGCTCTTGGAATCAGGACCAATGCATAACATATGATATCATCCTTTCCCACCTATAAGTTCCGTAGTCATAACCAGAGACAGGTTGTTCACCGATCAAAGGAAAATGGTTTAACGCCTTCACATATACATTCATAGGAATCACATACAAGGATAACCCTATTCCTGCAAAATCTAAAATAGAACTGAATCTTAGGGGTGCACCACTTTTGCAAATACTAGTAATAGTTGGCTCAGTGACTAGGTCTTCATTCTCTGCAATCAAAAGAAATAAAGGTATAAGTCAACCAATTAAGGTGTTTAAGTTTCTCCGATTATTGTTGGGCAATACAGTGGGAAATTAATCTATTACTAATTTTTTTGCTTTTATTGCTTAACTCGGTGTTATAGAAGTATCATATCTTGAAAGTCATTCTTTATAATTTACTGCCCTATTCAAATTAGCCATGATTGTCCAATGGCTAAATATAAATACTTTACATGCCTTCATATTTTTGACATTTTTTCAGAAGAAATGATCAAAGGGATTGCAAGCCATTTTCTGTTCATTTAAGTAAGAATATACAAATTTTTAGCTTTGGCAAGGTAACTTTATAGAGAATACTTCATAATGTAAGCAAAACCAAAAAAAAAAAAAAAACCTGCCTTAGAGGCACTAATTTGAAGAATAATTTCTAAATAAATGTATTTATTTTCTATATTTTCCCCTTAGAGATAATAAACTACAGGCTCTCGTGTGTTTCCAGAATTGTTATTCTATTAATTGAAATATGATTTAAAGTGTCCCAGAGGCAAAGAAATAAAGGATATAAATAGTCATAGTATGCATACGTGATGCAGGAAAGTACTTCTACCGATGCCCTCCGTACTTGGCTATCCAGTCAGTTCTTCCATGCACAGGTTGCGCTGCTGGTGGGTGAGTTAAAATGTTCATGCCTTTTGTGGCGGGGCTGTAAGTAGGTCCTGGCAATTGGGCACGAGAGGCCTTGGTTTTCCAAGCATATTCTGAAAACAAAATTACAAAACCAATACAAGCAAATCCACTGATTGTAGATCCTGCTAATACTTCTTTCACTATTAAACAGAATCCGGCTAAAATTCATAGCATATTCTTCCAAGTAAGGTTCTTTATGCAATAGATAAAACTATATTCCAAAAAGATTAGATCATAGTAAGGGAAAGAAATACATTTATTGTTGAAGGATATTATTGTTTCTAGAGTCATAGTAAGCTTTCATTACTAAAGCTATAGTAGATTATGGAACTCAGAAAGTCAGCCAAACAGATACAGACTGACTAGGGATAAAGAAAGTGTCCAAAGCATCTGTGATTCTACATAATAAGCACTGGCAAAAACTTCAGAAACAGCAGCATGATCAGGAACTAAAGATAATGCTTTTGAATATAGATATGTGACAAAAAAAGTAATAAAACTGTCATCTATTAATCACCCAAATGAAAGAGTCCAGAGAACTACTATATGTTTGAAAAAGAGTTTGAACTGTGTTCTGATTTACAATTTCCACCAAAATAATCTTAGAAATGATTTTCAAACTACAGTCAGATATGGTCAGAGTGAACACAGCCCATTCTTACTGGTAGTTGTCATCTGTTCTTTTTAGATCGGGTCCCCAACCCCCAGGCTGCAGTCCATTCAGAACTGGGTGAGTGCATGCGAGTTGCTGTCTTTGTGCCCACTGCTCACACAAATGGTGCTGCACAAGCACTTGCCCGCTGCTCACACAGAACTATCTCCTTTCTCCCCACCAGTCCACAAAGCCATAAAGATTGAGAACCACTGTTTTAGAGGATTCCTAGACATGAATAACTCATTGTCTGTAAGGAGCTGTATCATGTTTCCTACATTGCACACAGATGCTGATCACAGAATGGCTATTTATCAAGACAGTGTTCTGCAGACATGGCTTCCCATTGTTGGTCAACATTTTAACGAGAGTTGTAATCAATTTCTACTTTAGCTTCATAACTGCACTGTTGTCTCACAAATGGCAGAAAGCTTTGACAAGTAAATAAAGAGAAGTTGAAAACAAAAATAAGGTAGCTTTGTGAAAAGCTAAAGAAATGACACAATGAACTAGAAGGAAGACCGATTTTCCAATGAAAAAGATGACCTTTCTAAAAAGGTTTTGAGACAATTGAACTGGGGGTGGGCACAAATCTGGTGGATGAAGCTCTTCTATACCACAGACATGCAATGGGCAAGCTGTCCCTGTTCACTGGGTAACTTATAAAGTAACTATTTTTTTTCTTTCCTTCAAAAACGTTAACCATCCCATCTACAAGGCAAAACATCCCACTGTTAACTGCATTTCTGAAGATCAGACTTAAGAATTCATTTTGTATTTCAAAATGATAATCGTTAGTACACCATGGAGACTATTGAAGTGCTGAGCCACTAATGTGTTTATTTATGAATTGAACAGTACAGAAATGGATATTCTTTGCGTATAACATCAGCTGACTAATTCACTTGGAATGGGAAAATTCAGTTCTATTAAATTTCCCTCAATATGCATAGTAAACTTAATGTGTTTTTCCCATTTACTGTTAAAAAAAAAAAAAAGACCAAGCAGAGTAAAATTGTCAGGTCTTGCCACTTCATATTGCTGTTCCGAGGTTCCCTACCTCAAGACTGCTCTGCCTACACCCTGGGTCCATGATCTCTTGCTAAAAATCCACTTCCACAGCCCTTATATCCAGGTGGAGATAACGAACCACCTGCAACAGCGAGTCAGTAAAAGACACATTTTCCAACAAAATTGTCACTTCCTCCTTCCATTATGTATTCAAGATGGACAGTGATTAATATTTATATGTTACATATATAAAAGGGTAGGTCTATACATATGTTGTATATAATATGTTTAAATGTGTGTTATGTGCAAATGAGGGCTGTTTCCAAAGAAGATAGAGGAGGAGAGGTCCCGGGGCTTATGGAGCGAAGGAACTGGACGAGGCTGTCGGCAGGCCCAGAGGATGGGAGAGAGGCTTTTGGAGGAGTTGGTGGCGGCGGCGGCAGCGTTCTCCAGGGGCGAAAAGGAGTGAGGCCTCTTTAAGGAAAAGGTAGAAGAGACAAGATCAGAAAAAGAAAAGGAGGCGAGGTTGTCGTGCAGGAATGCAAGCTAATTTGAGGGATCATCCACACGGAGCTCCATTTCCATCTGTCCTGTTTGCCATCGTTCGCTCCCTAGAGACTAAAATGGAAGATCTGTAACTTGAGCTGGCCACGAACAAGGAGTGTATATTTATTTATTTATTTATTTATTTATGAGACTTATATACCGCTTTAAGTGCAAGCACTCTCTAAGCGGTGTACACCAGTAAGCAATGTATATATATATTTACATTGCCCCCAACAATCTGGGTCCTCATTTTACCTACCCCGGAAGGATGGAAGGCTGAGTCAACCTTGAGCCGGTGAGATTTGAACCGCTGACCTGCTGAACACAGTCAGCTAAAGTGGCCTGCAGTACTGCACTCTAACTGCTGCGCCACCTCATATCGGAGGTGGTGACCCTTTGAGAGCTGTATGCAACGAAATTTCATTTTGATGTATGCTAATTGGTGTACTTTCAAAGTGACAATAAAATAATATTATTATGTGGATACTTTGAGAGCAAGCAACTAAATTTTATTTGAATGTGTGCCATTGTGCCCAGAGTAAAAAAAACAATAAAAGGTCTGTCTGTCTGTCTGTCTGTCTATCTATCTATCTATCTATCTATCTAAAACATGGGGTTTCAACGGGTTTTGCCATGAACCTTTTTCTCTTTGACATATACCGTATATGCCGGCGTACAAGGCGACCCGGCGTATAAGACGATCCCCGTCTTTGTCGCCAAGTCGCATTCCTAGAACGTCGTCTTATACGCTGGAAACTACCAGTATTTCCGGTGTATAAGACGATTCAGCGTATAAGACAACCCCTGTCTTTGGCGCTGATTTTAACGCTTGCGGAAGTCGCCTTATATGCCGGCATATACGGTAAACATCTTTCAGGATAAAAAAATCCAATTAAATTTATACTATCCTGAACAGAAGAACATAAAATAGTCTAGGAATGAAATGGTGCAAACAACTACAACAAATAGGCAAGACTATAGTGAGAATGCCAGTCTTGTTTGTGGACTCTGACTGCACTGCTATGTCTGCCCATCTAATAAGGGTCAATTAATTGTCCTGCAATTCTAAACCAAATATTGTATTATTCATGAATCATAGAATAACAACTTAATACAATGCAATGTGTATCTGCTATATTAACATTTGGGATATATTTAATAGGAAGCATTGGAAGTACTTTGGAATTTGCCAATAGCAAAAGAAATGAGTATATTTATCCAAAAGAAAAATGAGGTCTCCCAATGAAGAGCAGTCAGGAAAAAAATCTTACAATACAGACAAAAGTTGTACAATGTCCACTTTCCACATCTCGTTAATCCTAGCTAAAATCCATCCTTAATATTCTCCTTCCTGAATAAATGCATGCATGCAACACACTACTGTATGTGTGTATTGCTAAATGTGCGCATTTTTATTTCCTAAGGGGCTATATTAAAAAAGGAAAATAAAACTGAGCTCCAAACTTAACAAAATAGTTCCCAGCCAGCAGACATTTGTTTACAGATGTATTTTAAATGAATGCTAAAGATGGGTCAAAATGAAGTTTTTTTCTCTGGATTTGGAAAGAAACAAATTTTGTTCTGGAAAGGGAAGGTTAATTAACTTTTGGATGATGATGATAATGACAGATAGGAGTCTCCAATTAAATCTTGCTTAATATAAATTTAATTTAATACATTATATCCTGAGTACAACTCAGCAAATCTACCTAAGTACCAACCCAAATCATTTTTAAAAAGCACAACAGATGAAGAAATTAAAGCTATGTAACTTTATTTATTTCAGCACAATGTAAGTAAGATCGTTTTGTACCTGTAACTGAAGGACCAAGAGGTGCTAATTGTATCCTTTGACCTGCTGAACCAACCTCTTTTTTGTGAAATGAAGGGATATATCCTCCAGGAGCATTGTAAGCGGCACCAATAAAGCCAGCATTTCCTACAGCTAGATAAACAAAATTAAAATTCAGGAGAGGGGTAGACAGAAAAAAACATCCTCACAAATATCTTGAATAATGAGTAAATCAATCAGTCAATCAATATTATAATGAGAGCCATAAAGAGGAATCCCTAATTGTACTCATTACTCATATATAAATAATTTTATTGTGTAATATACGCACCATTTTATTAATTGTGTAGTATATAATTTTCTCAAGAAAGCTTCACAACAAGAAGGTATGTGCAGATTGTCACTTTTTGCATGGAGATAGTCTCCTGCTTTCTAGACTGGTGTTTTAACCGCTAGACCAAACTGGCCCTCAAAACCTTGGCTTATTGTACAAAAAAGACGGAATATCAATTAATCAATGAAACAAAGAAGAGTTCTTGTCATAAAACATAAGGTTTAAAATTCCTCACCCTGAATTAAATTTTCCTCCTACCAAAGGTGGAACATTGATAGGGTAGAACCAATTATAGCATAGTTTTAAAAAATCCTACCTCCATTCTTTTAGTGTTGGCTCTCATTACTACATCTTACCAAACATTGTTAGCCTATTAAGATAAGCTTTTGGCAGATTCCTGCAAACAGGATTTTTTTTTTTTTTTGGTGCTAATCCAGTCAAACTGATTTAATAATATACAGATAGTTCTCGACTTGCACCATTTGTTTAGTGACTATTCAAATTATGACAGAATTGGAAAAAAATCCAGTCTTCACATTTACGATGGTCTTCACACTTATGACCTTTGCACCACCCCTATGGTCACAATTCAGATGCTTGGCAACCAGCTTGTATTTACAACCAATTATAGTGCCTGCAGTCATGCAGTCACAATTTGCAACCTTCCCAGCTGGCTTCCAACAAGTCAAGTCAATGGGGAAAGCAACATTTGCTTAATGACTGTGTGATCCACTTAAAAACCATGGTGATTTTTTTTAATGTAACAAAACAAAAATGATCATAAAATTGGGCATGACTCATTTAATGACCACCTCACTTAGGTGTGGAATTTCTGACCCCAAATGTGGTCATAAGTCGAGCACTACGTGTATTCTCAGAATGCATTCCATACACAACAGTAATAGAATAAGATGATAGAATTTGGGTTAGCAATCAGTGACAACAGAAATAGATATAAAGTGAAAATAAGCAGTTTTTGTATTTTAGAGCAGGGGTCCCCAACCCCCGGTCTGTGGACCGGTACTGGGCCCCAGCATGCCAGCAACCGGTCTGCACAAACAAGCAAAGCCCCATCCGTGGGATGCAGGCAGCACACAAAACCACGTACTCTTCGGTCCACAGAAAAAACCTTTCTCCACAGAACCAGTCCCTGATGCCCAAAATGTTGGGGACCTCTGTTTTAGAGGCATTCCTCTAGGGTACAAGACAGCTACTTTTTCATAAATTATACAGAACAATGGTGAAATAGATAAAGTAAAAAAAAAATAACTTTATTGCTATATATATAATACACAAATCAACAAAGCAGTTCTTTTGTTTTTTGTTTGTTTCAGTACTGAAGTGGCAAATTTTTCTGCATAAGGAAACTAAAGATCAAACAGTTCAAAATGAATGTTAAGAGATGTAGATTAAAACAAATACGTTATTTATATACTGATGGGATTTAAGCAGAAGCTGTACAAATAGAAGAAAGATAATAAAGCTGAGAGGTGACTGCTCAGACAAAAAAAAAATGTCATGGATCATCTAAAAAGAACTGAATGTTCTTACAGCCAGTACTGTAATTATTTTATACAAGAACAATGTATGACATAGGCATTTGGAAAACTGGACGCTTCTTTGGTCATCCAACTGCAAAAAATTGCCACATAGCTGAATAGGTAAGCATAAAACAGTAGATAAAATGATCTTGGAAGAACCTTTAGAGATGATTCCTAAACTATGGGGAAAGATAGAAGAGTATGGAGAAATGGCAGGACTAAAAATAAATAAAGAAAAAACTAAAGAAATAGTAAAGAACCTCATAGATAAACAAAAAAGGCAAATATTAGAGAAAACAGAGGTACAAATAGTGAAAAAAGTTAAATATTTAGGTATTCATCTTTCGGCTAAGTGTTCGTCAATAAAAGAAGACAATTATACAAAACTATTGAAGCAAATAAAGCTAGACTTGGAAAGATGGAAAAATCTGCAGCTGTCAATATTAGGAAGAATTGCTACAGTAAAAATGAATGTGTTGCCGAAGATTTTATTTCTATTTCAAATGATTCCGATAAAACTTGAGAGAAAATTTTTTCAAAATTTAAATTCATTGGTTTTGAACTTTATTTGGCAGGGGGAAAAAGCTAGAATTAAGATGAAAACATTACAAGATGCTAAGAAAAGTGGAGGTTTTGGGTTGCCGGAATGGACGTTGTATTACCAAGCATCTATGTTAACATGGGTGAAAGAGTGGATAACACTTAGAAATAAAAGGTTATTGTATCTAGAGAGACATGATTTACAATTAGGGTGGCACGCGTTCTTATGGTATGGGAAAAACAGAGTCCATAAGTACTTTCAAAATCATTTTATAAGAAATGCCTTGTCAACAGTATGGGAAAAAATTAAAGCTAAAATATATTTAAAAATTCCAGGGTGGTTATCAACAATGGAGGCATTTATACATCCGAACTTGGTAGACTTTGAAAAGATATGGACATATAAAGATATTCTAGATATTGGTGGGAAATTAAAATCTAAACAAAAACTGGAAAATCAGGGAATTAACTTGTCCTGGTGGGCACGTTTACAGATACAAAGTAGATATGAAAAACATGTAAAAATGTATGGATTTTATAAGGATCAAACTGTGTTTGATAAGATTTTGTTAACCTCAGATGAGAAATTAATCAAGAAAATGTATAACTTTTTGTTAATTTTGGATATGGAAAGTGAACAAGTGAAAGAAACAATGACAAGATGGGCAAAAATTTTTGGCTATAATATAGAATTAGAAAAATGGCAAATGTTATGGGAGAGAAACTACAAATTAACAATGTCAACTTCATACAAAGAAAATCTGTATAAAATGTTTTATAGATGGCACCTGCCGCCAGCAAGATTAGCAAAAATGTTTAAAAATATGTCAGATAGATGTTGGAAATGTAAACATAACATAGGCACGTATTATCACATTTGGTGGACATGTGGTAAGGTAAAGGCCTATTGGAGAAAGATACATATGTGGTTAGAAAAAATATTGGATGAACAAATGGATTTTAAACCTGAACTTTTTTTTACTAGGTATTATGCCTGAAAAGAGTAATAAGCAGAAATTATATTTAATCTTACACATTACTACAGCAGCGAGAATAATTTTTGCACAATACTGGAAGAATGAAGGACTGCCATCAGAAGAAGAAACAACCAGGAAAATATTGGAATGTGCAGAGATGGACAGATTAACTATGAGGTTGAAAGATAAAGAAGATACAGACTACTATCAAATTTGGAACCTATTTTATTCTTGGCTAGAGGAAAGAATGAAGGATTAGGAATTGAACATGTATTAGCATAGCAAACTCCAGACAACTTGTTGATTGGAAAAATTAACATATGTTGATAAAAAAAATCAATAAAATAGTTATAAAAAAATAAAAAAAATAAAACAGTAGATAAAATGATAGGAGATTGGCGAACTTGCCACAGAAGGATACTCGAAAGCCAAAAGAATTTGAAGTGATAGCATTTACAAATTAATACTGGACAAAAATGGATAGATCAAAGATTTCCTATCGTATACTAGAATCTGGGGCATCCCAATGTAATTGATAGCAGTAAATCCAGGACAAACAAAAGGAAACATTTCCTTCACACAACTGATATATGACAGTTCACTATTAAGTATAACTGTTGACAGAAACATGCTGAACAAAATATATCTTTGATTTGATGCAGCTGGGTGAAATCGTTCACCAATATATTAAATGAATCCGAGACAGATAAAAAAAAAAACAGATAGTGGAACTTTGCTTATTATGGTTTACAAAAATGGAATGGAAACAGCAGAAATATATTTTGCAGGAGTCAGCTTCAGGAACCTTACTTTAGAGACAGTGACCTTAATGTTTCATACAAATCGTCCACAAGTGTAAAGTGTAACCAGATAATTATAGAATAGCATATCTGTAAAGGTATATATTTAATAAAGCATCCATTCACTACATATCTCTAACTGGTTATGCATTTATTTATATGCCGCTTCAATCATGAAGTAATTCTAGGCAGTAAGTAGGCAACTTTACTTACTAGGGTTAAGAACACATAAAAGCAACATATACTGTATTCTATATTCATTAGAATAGATAATCAGGGAATAAATTATTATGCACTACCCAGTGGCCTGCTGCAAGAGCTACGTTTTTACAGCTAGTGTATACAACAGTGCCAGGGCCATTCAAGGAGGAAGGGGAAATGCTTCACAGGTTAGATGAACCTACAGAGAATGTACGCCACCAGGTGACACTATTTTACAGCCTAGGACTTGAATTCTTTCTTCCAATCCCTAGACTCTAATTTCAAAACCAAACCTTCCTGAATTATTGTTGTCTATATCAGTGTTTCCCAAACTTGACAATTTTAAGGCATGTGGACTTCAACTCCCAGAATTCCACAGCCAGCAACGCTGGCTGTGGAATTCTGGGAGTTGAAGTCCTCATGCCTTAAAATTGTCAAGTTTGGGAAACACTGGTCTATATCATTATCACCACGGCAGAATACCTTTTCTCCCATACCAAACACAGTACATTCTCATATATTTATGTCACTTTTTTCAAGTGTGTTGGGGTAAATAGGAATAAACAGTTGGATAACATCTCCCTCAGATCTCAGTGAAAAAGGGAGGCAGGCAAGCAAACAAACAATTTACTGGAACCAAGCCTTAAGCTAGCTCTTTTAAGGAATATTTTAAAAGAGCAGTATCAAATTAATTGGACCCTACACAATATTCATCTCAGATCCTAATGACCTCACCCGAATTCTTACTGTAAAAGGCAAATCGTGGAGATCCAAGGAAAACAACCGAATCTCTACAAGAAATGTACAGTAGTGGCCAAAATTGTGGAAACCTTTTGGGAAAAGTGTAATTTTGAGGTTTGATGGCTAATAAACACCACTTTTTTTGGAGTAGTACCATAAAATTATATATCAATGGAAAGATAATTTAATCAAAAATGTAATGCAACAAAGTTTGTTCAATTAGTTGTACTGTATTCTATGAAAAGTTATAGCCAAATAACCAGAAAAAGGAAGCACAACTTGCTTAGATTGATATCAGGTAGCTTTCCTTCATCTGATTGTAGCCAATGAGCATGAGTGTTTAGAGAGCCAATCATGTGTCATCTTGTTTTGGTAATGAGCCAATCAGATCACAGTAGGGTTCAGTTATTGATGTCATGTATTGAAGCTGAGAGGAGGACATTTGTCAGTGTGTTATGTGATTGCTATCAAGTTGGTTGGGTTTTTTTTCTTTCATTTAGTGAGCTTGTAAAACGTAATAAAATTAAAATAATGGTGCAAAGAGTTGATTGGTTGCCCAGAAAGCGATGTAAGATAGTATTATTAAATGAACAAGGCTACAGTTATAAAGAAATGAGAAGAAAAATTGGTGGAAACTTAATCAAAGGTGGCATTTCTACTGTACACGTTTCCCAAAAGATTTCCACAATTTTGGCCACTACTGTAGAAGATTATTCCATTGAGAAGCAAGGATTGTTTCTGCTTCTGAATTCCAAACAAGCACAGTAAAGTAACAATGTGTCAATCCAGGTAGATTGGGGGCGGGAGCTAAAGAAATTATAATCTATGTATGACTTCTACTCCAATTCAAATTTAATTATTTAATGACTACACAGTGTCATCCAAGGAGACCCTTTTTTAAAATACTGATATGATGTCCAGGCAGAAAAACTGCTTATTCTTTGCAAGGATGTCAGTAAAAATTAAAAATGCTGCCTTTATCAAGAAAATAAAATTGGGACTTAAAAGGATGAAATGGAACAGCTAACAATCAGTGACCACACACAGTATTGCTGGTACGGGTTTCTTTACAAGTAACAGCATGATAGCAAGTACTCTTATGGACACAATGCATAAAAATACGCAAGCGTTATGTGTGTAATGTTCGACAGCAATGTTTTTGGCAAACAGAATGGTGAATATATTATTTTACATTTAGTAAGTGGTATGGGGAAATTTGCATAAACGTACAAATCTCTTCCGTCTTTGTGTGTTTTCTATTTTGTAGATTTAGAGAAGGAAGATCCTAAGAATATGGATGCGTTCTAACCATAATCTCGAAAGTATCAGGCATTATAAAGAAATAAATGATTACTATATCAAATGAGGTGAAATCATACATCCATAGTTTTTGGGTAGCACAAACCTGTTTGGTGGCACGTTACCATTTGTGACATTGGAAGAATCCCAAGATTACTTCATTTAAATGTGGTGGCAAAATTTCAACAAAAGGTCAATGATGTGAGTTAGGCTTAAGAAGAGTAAAATAAATGTGAGAGGAATGCAAATCTACTGGAAAATGCAAATCCCTTTTCCTCACATTCTGAAAACTGCAATAAAACAAGTAACCTGAAGGCTTTTTATGACTTGCCAACCAATTAAGTCTATCAACAACATCCCTTTGGTCAAAAAATATTTCAAATACAGGTAGTCCTTGACTTATAACCCCAATTGAGCCCAAAATTTCTGTTGTTAAGGGAGGTATTTGTTAAGTGAGTTTTGCCCCATTTTACGACCATTCTTGCCACAGCTGTCAAGTGAATTACTGCAGTTGATTAAGTTAGTAACCCAGTCGTTAAGTGAATCTGGCTTCCCCACTGACTTTGCTTGTCAGGAGGTCGCAAAAGGTGATCACATGACCCTGGGAGACACAGCAGTGGTCATAAATATGAACCAGTTGACAAGTATCTGAATTTTAATTACATGATCATGGGGATGCTGCCAAGGTCATTTTAACTGTGAAAAACAGTCATAAGTCACATTTTTTCAGTGCCGTTGTAACTTTGAATGGTCATTAAATGAACTGTTGTAAGTTGAGGTCTACCTGTATCTTGTTCTCTACATAGCACATGAAAGCAAACCAGCCAGAAACAAATGTCTTCATTAAAAGCTTACATATTTAAGAAGGCTTTCTTTACAATTAAATCCAAATGTCCTGTACATTACTCATAATAGGCAACCTCGGCTCTTTTATGACTCATGGACTTCAACTCCCAGAATTCCTGAGTCAGCTATGCTCATGGACTTCAATTCCCAGAATTCCTGAGTCAGCTAATTCTGGAAGTTGAAGTCCATGAGTCATAAAAGAGCCAAGGTTGCCTACCCCAAGTTCAATGCAATTCATCTTTCAAAGTCGCAAATGTTACTGGAATGTAGCAGCCCAAATGGAAACAGAAATGATATTCCATTCTAAGAAGTAAAATTCTCCATAATTAAAACAAGTTGCAGATATGCAGGAAATGGACATCTGAGTTTTTATCAAATCACTGCAATAACAACTCTACCTGATACATTGTAATTGATGCAAAACAGTACAATTTAAATATCATAATGCTTATGTAAAAGAAACCTTTTTCACAAGGAAGATTTTCCAGATACATAAAACTGCTAAACTAAAGTATTGTAGATTTTATAGTCTACCGAAAAGTTAATTATAGTTATGTTTAGTTAAAAGCAGAACAAATCTAAAAGGGAATAAATCATGTTATATGTAATTGCCATTCATTACCTTTGGGATCCTCTAATTTTTCATTCACTCTTTCTTTGCATGAGAGTTTTTCAATTGGTTTAATTAAGTTTTCTTCTTCAGAGAAGGCAATAAAACAGATGAAAGAAAGGATGAAAATAAATGCTTTAGAAAAACAGAAAAACTGGATGAAATGAATGGAAGAAACAATAAGAACGAGAAATAATAAAAAGGAACAAATCTGAAAATAAAGTGTAAGCAAGCTTTGCCAATTAGTTTCCTACCTACAGACAAGATCAATTTTAAAAACAGCAACCCTAAGCCCATGTTTTATTACAGTGATGGCGAACCTTTGAGTGCCCCAAAACTGGCCCCGCCCCTGCTCTACCCCCTGCCCCACCCCGCCCCCACCCCGCCTTCCCACAGGGCCACTCATCGCCTCCAGGGCCCACTGCAGATCGCCCAGGCAGCCCAGTAGCACCATGGTGGCCACGCCCTCTTCCTGCGCCCTGCAGCATCAACTGTGGACGATGGGGTGTGAGCGCAGAGTCTTGTCTATGCTGCCTGGTTGCCATGTCCTTGGCTGCACTGCTCTGCGTGGGCCACGCTTTGGGGCGACTCTCCTCCAGGGGAATTGCTGGTGAGGAGGGGGTTGCAGGGAAGACAAGGCTGGGGAAACAGCACGTGTGCCCACAGAGAGGGCTCCGAGTGCCATCTCTGGCACGCGTGCCATAGGTTTGCCACCACTGTTTTATTATAATTCCAAATAAGATAAATGCATTTTAGATGAGTAAAAATGGAAATATATTATGAGCAGGTATTACTTTCAATGATCCACAAAAAGGCTATTTTAGAATTTAGAAATAGGTTGATGATTTGAAAAGAGTGCTTCAGATTTTGGAAGAATGTGAACACAGAACCCATCCATGCCTGTGTAATCCAAGAAGCATTAGCAAAGCCTAGAATCATGCAATGGCTGCAGAGAAGCTTCTGCTATTATTGTGTGACCCTGGAAATGACTTGCTTAAATGATTAACAGGCAGGTGCTCTGTTCACATTATTTGCTCCTCTGAAGCACCTTTCCTAACTCAGATCCAAAACTGAGATGGAAAATTATATAAATAGCCCTGTCAGAATATATAATTTACCCCAAAAGTGACAATTTCTGACTCCCAAATTCTTGAAATAACCAGATTTGAATTTTATGCAAAGGCTATGAATTCAGTTTTTGTACTGAACAGTACAATTTTTGAATGCAGGATTCTTCCAGCCTTAAGTCTTTCATTTTAAGTCATCCAGATATGGATGGGCATCATTCTTAGCCTCTATGACAGTGGTGGCGAACCTATGGCACAGGTGCCAGAGGCGGCACTCAGAGCCCTCTCTGTAGGCACGCGCGCCATTGCTCCAGTCCTAGGCTTTCAGCTGGGTTTTATAAAACCTTTTCGCTTTAGGCTTCCACCGCCATGTGCAAAAAAAAAAGGTTCAATCAGTCAATTTCAACTTCTTGCGGGGAAAAAAAAGATCTTGCAAAGTTGGAATTGATTGAATGAACTTTTTAGTCCCACCCAGTCTGCCGTTACCACCGCAGCCATGCCCAGCCAATGAGCCACACCCCAGCCAATGGGCCACATCCACCCGGCACTTGACGATGCATAAGTGGGTTTGGGGTTGCAATTTGGGCACTCGGTCTCTAAAAGGTTCGCCATCACTGCTCTATGAGCAGTCATAAAAAATACAAATATTAGGTAGTATTATCCAATACTTCATTTTGAAGCATTCCCAGGTTTTGGGGAATGAAGAAAAAGAAAAAAAAAACTCCAGGCAAACTAGGAGATGAGATGGCGTATCAAGAAGACAGCGAGGAATGTAAGGAAACTTGGGTGGGAATGTTGTCTGAGCTCTTTACACGTTGTTGTTCTGTGTGTGTGATGATGATATGTAGATTTGTTTTAATGAGATATTGATAGTCTCTGGTCAATTTTAGGCAGCGACTAGAGGGGTCTAATCAAGTAATTAAGGTCACAAAGCCGAGCTTCTTAACTTGCCCTTAGTATCTTTTAGGTAAGTACTCTGCTAGGGAGAAGAACAGTTCAGGAAGAGATGGCTTCTTTCAGCCATCTCTCTGCCTTACCAGGGGGACAAACAGGAGCCAGGCACAAGAACCAACCCCACAGGACTTTATCTGAATGCAACAGCAGCAACCAGTGAACTTCACAGCATCTCCCTCTTTCTGTCACGTGGCTTGCTTAAAGACTATGTCACCTAGTGAGCATTTCACCAGAACCAACTGCAGTTAGTCACGAGGACTACCTGTAATATATGAGGCGTATTTTAATTTGGAAATTTCTACTTTTTTTCTCCGACCTGGTTTCAAGCCATTGAAAGAATGATGGAAGTGAATTTGTTACATGAACACGGTATATCGGTAATTTTTATTGGCTACAAAAGAAAAGCCCTTCCAGACTATGATCAACATTACATTTAATATATACTCCTCTTGCATACAATAAAATGAAATCGGTAATGTAGGGGGGGGGGTTAATAGTGTCACAACTATGACTTAAATTCAATTAATCTATTTATGCCATCTAGCAAGAACGTTACACATCCTAATTATCTAAACATATAAGCACATACACACTCTCTCTTACTTTATCCATTTGGACACATCACTTATACCCATTCAAGCAAGAGGAATCATCTCTTGTGAACCTCAGCATGTATTTTTCACGTCTGAAAAACTGAAATGTCATCAAGTGTAGAAACAACTTCTGGTTGCATGTATGTTGTGATCATCTCTACGTGAATCCAAACCACTATTCAAAACTATGCATATTAAACCGGGAAAGGGCATTAAGCTTGAAAATAATTGTGGAAAAAAGAATAAATTTTATAAAATACATTAAAAACAAGATAGGATGTGTAGTACAGTATTACATTAGTTACCTGCATTGACTTGATTGAAAGACAGACCTCCAATTGGTGCTATTGATTTTGAAAACAAAGGATTGTTGCAAGTACCGTGGATTCTTTCTTTAGTGACCGCTCCTGAGGAAACATTCTTAGGATTTACACCTTTAAGAAATTATCACATTAAGGGTTAATGTCTATCAATAGCTCAGGCGGTCACAGCATATTCTTTGCTAGGTGGCCACTTCATGAATACAGGAAGTATAAAAAAGAGTCATTACTTCCTATTGAAACTAATTTTAGATCCATATTTGGAAAAAAAAATAATCCTTAAAGAAACTCATAAATAATTTATGTTATAGGCGGTCCTTGCTTAATGACCCTAAGTCATTAGGAAAAACACATGACCACACTGTTTAGCAACTTAGCACTTCTGGTAGTTTCAGTTGTGATCACTAGACAAGGACTATACCCATTGTTAGATGAGGTCCTCACGCTTCTCTTATATTAGGGGTGGGCAACCCTGGCTCTTTTATGACTTGTGGACTTCAGCTCCCAGAATTCCTGAGCCAGCATGGCTCAACATGGAAACCTCTCCCTTTCCCCTCAGCATGGCTGGCTCAGGAATTCTGGGAGTTGAAGTCCACGAGTCATAAAAGAGCCAAGGTTGCCTACCCCTGTTTTATACTGTGTGAACTGCCAGCTTCATCTCCCTGCCTTCTCCCCAGTCAGGTCTGGTGAGTTCCCTTCAGCAGATGAGGTTCCACTACCCTGCCATGCTCACCTCTGCTTCAAATCTCCCCATCCACCTATCTTTACCGTTTTTGGTCACCCTGAATTCCACCAAGGCCACTTACCCCTGCCGCCCCCTCTAACCTTTGCTATTTTCTTCTTCCCACTGCTGACAAGACACACCCAGCCAAGATCAGGCCACAGGTCTCAGGCCTGAAATTTTGATCAGGAGCACTGAATCAATCATAACTTTGAGGACCAGTCATAACTGTCATTTGTTTAGTGATGTCATAATGGTTGCTGAATGTATGGCTGTTAGGCAAGGACTACTTGTAGTGCTTCACAGGTGTGGGAAGTTTATGAGTCTTCTAATATTTATTTAACAAATCATAGTTTGCTTATTTAACAAACCACAGTGGACTATATCACTTAGATTAGTCTAAGGTGTGAATCTCACCTAAAGATAGCTCACTAGTACACCTAGGTTAAATAGCACGTCTCTCCATGTTTTCTTTCAGTTTGCTGTCCATGTTCAATTACAAATAAGATGCAATTAGAGATAACAAAAACCAAACTCACATGAAATGCTGTGCAACTGAATGATGGTCAAGAAGAACAGCAAGAATACTAGTCTTCCACCTTGGATTATCCAATTATTGTATCAAATCACAAATTCTTTGTCACACTTCTAACTGAACCAATGGAATAGAATGGGATCACCATTAGCAGAGACTGTAATACAGCACTCAGAAACTATAGTACTCCCATGCATAAAACCAAAAATATGGATCAGGTATGTAACTGACAACTTTGCCATCATAATAAAGGAGCAACTAGAGAAAACATATGAAACAATCAGCATTTTCAAAGGGATAAAATTCACAAAGGAGGGGGGAAAAAAACAATACATTATCCTTCATGGATATCCTCATCAGCAGAGAAAATGACAGCAAATTAGAAACATAAGTCTATCAAAAATCCACTCACACTAACAATCCAAAGTATAAAGTAACAACCCAACCTCCGACAAGAGGACCTCTATAAGAATATTATTCAGATGAATACAAATGCACTGCAGCAACCCAGAACACCAGAAAAAGGAAACAGGCCAACCATACAACATCTTCCAACAAAATGGATATCCACACAATTTTATCAAAAAGGGCCTGACCATTCAACCGATTACAGCACAATCAGTCCCAAACTATGAAACTCTACCATACCTCAGAAACATTTCAGAAACAACGAACAAACTATTACAACCACATAGCATCACCTTAGCACACAAACCAACTAACTTCCAAAATATCTTAAGGTAAACCAAAAGACCCAGTAGCCCAACAAGGAAAAACAGGAGTCATCTATAATATTCATGGTAAAAGACTGTAACAACCATTATGTTGAATAGACAGGCAGAAGACTAATAGAGTGCGTCTATGAATTCCGACCAGCAGTCAGAAGAAACATGAAAACTTACTTTTACAACACACTGACAGACTCATAGTTCCAACTGGGAAACTATAAGCATCTTAGATCAAGCTAAATTCAAGAAACGTTAGGGAAACCTGGCATTCAGCCATCAATAAACACATAGAGATAAACCACATTTAAAGGAGACAATAAAAAAGCTGAGAAGGAAACAAAAAGACCAAAACACATTCTCTCCAGCAGCCCAGATAAGCAGGGATTAACATCAGACAAACAACCAAGCAGAAAATTCCATAATCAGGGAACCACCAAGGAGAAAATCACATCCTCACTCACACTGGCAAGGCAAGCTACTATCTGAGGGTGCTCTCTACACTTGATTTCTTGCAGACCTTTCATTACTCAAACTAGGTAACATTGCCAGTACTGATCCAAGAAAACAAGCAAGCTCAGAAAGCACCAAGGACCCCCCCCATTTCAACCCTAAGCTACAAATATTCCCCTTTATTGGAAGCTACTGTATATAAACAGAGAGCAAACACCACCAACAAACATCTGCAAGCAAACCACCAAGCTCACAGACCACCCAGCACTCCACTTCGAACTGTAAAGGAATGCACATGTATGGGGTATGGAGGCTTGGACCTCTGCTGATTCTTATGAAAAGTCTTCAAACTTGTCGATGAAAGTTAAAAAGAAAATGGAGAACAAACCGCCTCCTGAAGAGACTGATCTCAGTTACTACCAGTTCAGGGACTAGCTGCTTCCTCGGGCCCCAGATCTCCCACGAATACAAACATACCAGGACAAGTTCACACAGCTCAGACCTCAGTCCAAAAAATAAACAAGAAGATAGCTTCACAGACCCTAAACTGCTGAAATTACAAGACTCTAGGCCAGGGCTGGCAAACTTGGCTCTTTTATAACTCTTGGACTTCAACTCCCAGAATTCCTGACCCAGCATGGCTCAGCTTGCAAACTCTCCCTTTCCCCTCAGCATGGCTGGCTCAGGAATTTTGGGAGTTGAAGTCCCCGAGTCATAAAAGAGCCGAGGTTGCCTACCCCTGGCTCTAGGCCAGTTACTACTGGCTTAGGGCTTTGTTCTTACCCTGCTTCACCCAGCTCTGAAAGAGAAAATACAAAGAAGCAAAGGCAAAATGGCAGCTATTAAAGCCTACCTGGGGAGAAAACTACTCTCCCAATGGCCTCCAGGACACTTGGTTTTCTTGGGCTTTGTTATTTTTAACCATTCCTTCTCTGGTCAGATCAGCTAACTGTTCTCTTATTATTTCAGTGTCCAGACATCTTAAAGTGGATTTTTTTTTTTCATATTTGCTACAGCAGTGTATATTATATGGAATGAGATTACTGAATGAAAAACACTTAAGTTGAAAAAGGCAGCAAAAATAAAATAAACACATATGCATATCCACGCACACACACATTTTGTTAACTGAGTCTGACAACGAGTTAAATAATTGCCTCTTACCAGGAATATACCTTGATTGCTTCAAATAGTACTGTTTTGCCGAACTAGTTGACATTCCAGAGTCGTTTCTCTTCAGAACTTTGTTTTCTCCTGACCTGCCAGAGGTAGGAGACGTAGACTCAGGAACGCTGAAAATAAAGATTATGCAACATCACAAATGAATTCTTAGTCTAGAACAGGGGTAGGCAACCTTGGCTCTTTTATGACTCGTAGACTTCAACTCCCAGAATTCCTGAGCCAGCATAGCAGGCTATGTGATTATTATTACAATTACTGTGATGTGAATATCACTACAGGTAAGTCCTCCACTTATATCCATGACTGGGCCTGGAATCTCAAGTCGCTGAGCAAAGGGATGGTTAAGAAAGATGCCAAATGACTGCTTCATTCAACAACCATAATTCAAGTTCTCCCTGTTGCAGTCATTAAGCAGAGCACCGGGGAGAGGGCTTGGGCCTCTCAATCATAGTGGAACAAGAAAAGGATATGGGCTTCCCAATATATCGGGGAGTCCAGGCTCTTTCTTTACCCCACCAGGGAGAAGGATCATGAGAACAATGGTATTTGCTAGTGTTTTTGCCAAATTTGAGGTCTGTTCCTCCAGTGCAGGAGTCATCAAACTTGGCCCTTTTATGACTTGTAGACTTCAACTCCCAGAATTCCTCAGCCAGCCATGCTGGCTGAGGAATTCTGCAAGTTGAAGTCCACAAGTCATAAAAGGGCCAAGTTTGAAGACCCCTGCTCCAGTGCATGGAGGGATTTCCTCTCATTTTAAGTCTAACTTTAAACAATTGTCAAACAACCGGTATAAGTCGAGGACTCTCTATATTTATATGTCCTTGGACTTACCTGCTTTTTGTTTAAGGTACTGTCTTATTAAAAAGGCTAATCATGTCACTGATCCAGTGCCAATTCCCTATTCCAGGGGTTAGCAGGGATTTCCGTCCACAACCATGCAGTTATGCCTTTTACAGTGTTTATTTGTACTAAAAAATACAGGCCATTACACTGATTCACACAATGTGGTTACATGAAAATACATTATGCATGCGTTAGTTTGCAGCTGCGCTGCCCTGGGGAAAAAGCTGTTGGATATGCTTGTAATTGAACTATAGTTGACAATAGTTTTCTTAAAGTCACCACTATAAATATTTAGTCTTTAAGATGTCATAACAGCTTTTTCCGTTTCCCCTGGAAACTCAAAGCATTAATTACTGAAGATCTATTTACAAATTTGTCCAATTATCTTTGGCTATGCCTAAACAATCCCGTCACTTCAGTGCAATGTACTTTTCCAGATACAGTTATATATAATTTAAGCATTAAGTATAATGATAAATAATGTAAAACCATCTCCAAATACAAGCATGGAGAATTTTACTTTATTTTATTTGCATCTAGAGCAGGGCCTTTCAACCAATGGTACGGGTACCACCTGTGCTACATTGGCACCTGGCAGGTGGTACGCAACCTGGCAGGTGGTAGCAGGGGAGGGGAATGAGCTGAACCGGTGGCAGCACCGCAGAAGCCGGAGCGAGAGATGGCTGGACCTGCAGGGCTGTCAGGGCTCAGCAGAAGCACCAAGATCAGTGCCGCTTTCCAGCTGATCGGCGCTTCTTCGGGGCTGTCAGGGCTCAGTGGAAGCACCAGGATCAGTGCCAGGCTCCAGCTGGAGCTCGGCACTGATCCTGGTGCTTCTGCTGAGCCCAGAAGAAGCGCCGATCAACTGGAATGTTGCAGCATCTCCAGGGTCTTGTGATTTACATTCAGATGCTTGGCAACTGACTCATATTTATGATGGTCACAGTGTCCCCCACCCTACCTCTGCTGCCAATCCTCAACAGAAATGCTCACAACAATGAAAACCTCAGACAGGAGGAAGAGTGCCGTTGGGTAGGCAGGCAGGTGTCTTGCTCGGCTATGGCTTGGGGGTACTTTTTTCAGTGCCATTGTAACTTTGAACAGTCACTAAGCGAACTGTTGTAAGTCGAGGACTACCTGTACTTTATCACTTTTTTCCTTTTTTTTTTTTTTTGGTCATCAAGTTTTTGACACCTTGCTAGGCGCCTGGTGGTACTCGGATGTTGCCATATCCTAAAAGTGGTACAATGGGTGAAAAGGTTGAAAAGCCCTGATCTAGAGGAGTAACATTAAATGCCTTTCTTATTTTTGTTTGCTTTGCTTATGAAATAAGGCAAGGATATTAAGACTTTCCTCTAAGAGAATCCACTAATGCCATACCTTAATATAAAATACTGCAATATTTAAAGCAACTACTGACATTATAACTGTATAAAATTCACTTGTTATTGTGTTCAATAGTTCCAGTCCTCTCAGTAATGCACGGATAAATTAAAACACTATTTTAAAGATGTAAAACCATATAGAAGACAATACAGAATCAGTGCTACAATCAAGAAGCATCAAAAACAATGACAATAAATACCTCATAAAATAATCGTAATAAAAGCAGTAAAATAGCAAAGTTCTTAAAGCATTCACCAAAAATATTGTCCAGGGGAAAAACAAAAGATCTTCACCTGGAAATAACCATAATGTAGGTCCTGAACAAGGCTCTCTAGAGCAGGGGTCCCCAACCTTGGCAATTTTAAGACTTGTGGACTTTAACTGGGGAATTCTGGGAATTGAAGTCCACAAGTCTTAAAATTGCCAGGGTTGGGGACCCCTGCTCTCGACAGTAAAATCCAAAAAGTGCTACCACAAAAAGCCATTTCTCTTGTAACCTCTCACCTTACCTTGAGTCTTAACATGGAGTCCTTAATATCTGGATAGGCTAATAAAGAAGGAGATGCCCTTTCAAGTATCCTGGCTGAAGCTATTTAGAACTGCGTATTAAAACCAGTACTTTGAATCAATCCCAAGAACAAACAAGCACATCATTGCGTAAAGTGACTGGATTAGCCACTTGTACTTAGCACTGTTGCTATCATGTTTTGAATTAAATGAAGATTCCATACTATTTGGGGAAAATACATTCATATATAAAATATGGTATTAGTCCAAAAGAAAAAAAAGGAGTTACCAAAGTATAAATGATTGTTGCAAGTCAGTTGCAAATCAGATAATCAATTCAATTACAGTTACCTTTGAGCTGGTAATTAACTATTTGACCAGGTACCTTTGTCAAAAAAAAAAAAAAAAAAAGGATGCTAGCAAGTGGTCTGTAGCTATTTTCATATTTCAGATGAAGTCTGTTTCTTTAGAAGTAGCCTAACCACACCCTCTTTAAGAGACTGGCATCACATTCACATTCCAAAAGGAGTTCACAGTTAATCCTACACGCTGGGAAAATATAAGCTACATATAAGATAGCATACAATACATACGTTTTAACTTTTATCAGGGCCAGATGGAGAGACTATAATATATTAATTGCAAATAACAAAAAAAAATGTAATACCTTACCTAAAAAGTGATTCTTTTGTTTTCTTTTCATTTAACACCATAATGCTAGGCTTCTTAAAATAAGACATTCCAAATTCTGCATCATCAAAATCATCCCAACTATCCATTGTCTTTAACATAGTTTGACCCCACCGGCGTCGATTGTTTTTCATACCCATTGTACCGTTTGAGGGTCCTATGGCTATGTGTTTCTGTTTTGATTACAAAAAAATTAGAAGTTACTTCCAATATATTTTAGAATGTTACATTCAGGGCTTTTTTTGTCATAGAATGCTCAGAACGGCGTTCCGGCACCTTTTTTGGATGGAACCTTGTAGGGTAGGCAAGGCCAGTTGTATGACGTGTGTGAGTTCCGGCACCTTTTTTTTTTTTTAAGAAAAAAAGCACTAGTTACATTACTATGTTGAACTGGAAAAACTGCAATATGGGGAGGGAGGGGGGTTGAAGGAGCTCTTAATACAGAAATGAAGTAAATCTTGCCTTCTCACAGTAAAAAAGTATAAAATACAATATTCTACAAACATTGTAAGGGAGAGTTATAATGATCCACTATAATCATACATTCCTCTGAAAGAAAAGAAATGCCAGGAGCATTGCTGCTGCCAAATTAACCGAGGATTGGATATGGAAATGGAATGGATAGAAAAAAAAGAACAAAGCCACAAAAAGAGGATTAACAATAGAAAAAAAAAGTATGTAACGGAGATAAAGAAATATAGTTAGAGGGGGAAAAAAATAGGAGGAAAACCTGTGGTATGCAGAAACAGCACAAACTACAGATGGAGAAGAATTTTTTTTTTAAAAAAATGAGAAAAACTAAGGAAATTTTGTAACAGTTCACGGAGGGGAATGTTAAGAGTGTATGAAGACGTATGATGTATGAAGACAGGGTTAAAAAAAATGATAGGAAACAGTAACCCAAAATGTACTTGTACATTAACATGTGATGAAATGCTTTTGAATTCACAAGAATATATTGTAAAACTACCTCTCAGAGTGGTTTGAACTGAGCACTTCTGCAGCAATTATAGACTTGTTCATAAGTCGTTTCTGAGTGCAACTTACTGATGTTGAGTTTTTACTGATGGCTGGAAGGAACGACTGAGGCTGTTGCTGAACTGATGGTTGCTGACTCACTGCATTCTGAGGCAGCTGGATTGACTGGAGGGGATGTTGGTTATTCTTGGATAGACACTGTAGCTTATCAGTTAAATTTAGTGAAGTCTGAGATTCTGGCACAGATACAACTTCTAATTTTGATATATGTTCAAGTTTGGGCAGAGATGGTTTCCGTTCTGTTATCTTGGAATATGGCTGTTTCTGATTCATGCATTGCGGAGGTGGTCCTAAAACCTGACCCACTTGAAAGTAAGGAAACTTCAGTGCCTAAAGAAAAAGACAACACTAATAAGTATAAGGTAGCTTAAAGGTCTGCAACTAAAGGTCTTGCCAAATAAAGTGTAGGAAAAAAAGTATATGGAAGGTCATACAAAATGAAACAAACCAGAGTTTGTTTCATGGAAAACAAGACGACTGCAGTTTAGTGACTAAGAATGCAAGCTTGGATGTTCAAATCTCCCATTAACAACAAACTATAAGCCACTTAAGCCATGCCTAAGTCACTACAGTAGTAATTTTCCAAAAACATTCTAATAATTTCTGTGAACCATTACTTTACCTGCGGTTTTCCCCTTCTACTTCCATATACCTTGTCAAATATAATTATTTTTAGTTCATCATTCCTGCCCCAATCTGGCATAAGTATAAGTTTGCCTGCTGATCATCAGTATCATCATCATCATCATCATCATCATCATCATCATCATGAGTGAGCCTTTAAAGTTCAGTGTGTGGAAATGCATTTATGCATCTAAAGCACGGGTGTTAAACTCTCCACGTGACATGACGTGTTGCGATGTATCGTGACTTTTTTTGCATTGCCGGAGCTGGCATGGGCGCGGCCTCCATATGATGCAACCGGCCCACGGGCTGGTATTTTGACACCCCTGATCTAAAGGGTATGTAATTAATAATATCATTTTAAATCTATTTTTTGTTCACCTTTCTCAAAAGCTCAGTCTACAATAGCCAGTAACTATGCAGTAGGCAATTTTTTCTCTTTATCTAAAGCTCTGAGAAACAAATTGAAGTTGTTGTTGAAGATCAACAAGGAAAGACATACACATAACTTTTGAGAAGTTATCAATTCATAAAGTCATTTCAAGCACGTTTCCCGATTTCCCTAAAGCAGGGTCGAAAACATGTAGCCTTCTAGATTTTGTTGGATTTCAGCCACAGACGTAAACTCTTGTTTCTCAATGGAGTACATCTTCCATGTTGTTATATTTAATAAAACTTCAAATACGTAGCAATACATTTTATAGTTAATCTCATGAAATGATAGGTTTTCCTTCCTTTTGATACTTGGTTAAAGAAAATTACAAAATTATTCTGTATATTGTGCAAGTGTTTCTAACAAAACCATTTCCAATTTCGATGAAGTGCTTGTAAATGAGTTTGTGAAATTTTTTTTTTGCAACAGCTTATACTCACTGGATAAGCAAAATCGCCATATTGCTAATACCACAGGCCTACATACCTGACTTGCTGTAGGTCGTTTCTTTGGGTCCCAATTCAACATTGTATTCATGAGAAACAATGCCTCGCTGCTGGCATTTGGAATGAGCGTCTTTAGATTTATGGAAACACACTGAGGGAAGCGAAAATTCATTCCAGCAGCAAGCTGGTATCCTTCTGGCCAATCACTCTGTAAAGTAGAATAACAAGAGTAGTCTTTAAAACATTTTTATTATTTATTGTTGAGTGCCTACAATTATTAGTTTTGGTTAATTCGTTTAACCAAAAACCAAACTTGTTCACAGGTAATCCTCAAGTACTAACCTCAATTGTGACTGGGAACTCCATCTCTTAAGTGACATAATAACAAAATGTCATGGTATGTGAGAATGACTTTGAGGGACAAGGAGAAAATATGTTGCCTTGGAAACTATCAGGCAAAACATGGGGAAGCCCCAGTGGTTTACAAGTTAGAGGAAGAAACGTAGGAAGGATCCGCCCTAATGGATCTGGTGATTAAAAGTGATGGCAGAAGATCTGTACCTTCAGACTTAAAAAAAAATCTATTAATGTAGCCTAACAATAAAGTAGAATTAGTTCACCTAGTTGTGTTTCCTTTCTGGTTTACTTGAAAGGGATGACATCAATCCTACAAGTCTCCAGGTACACATTTCCCATGACTTGTGACTTCCTGCTGGCTTCCCCATTGACTTTGCTTGTTGGAAATTGGCTGTGAAGGTCACAAATGGTAATCACAAGATTGCAGAATACTGTAACCATCATACATGCCAAGAGCAACCACTCAACTGCAGAAACACTATAATACCCTCAACTTCAAGGACCAGGTTGTAAATCTTTTCCAGTGATGTCATTAACACTGAATAGTCTCTGAACATACAATCGGTAAGGATTACCTGTGTTATGTACTGGAAAGTTAATTATAAAGAGTGATGATGTCAATCCCCACAATGGAAGAATGAGTGGACAAGTAACTAAGTTAGCAGAGATGACCAAATTGATTTAGAGAAAAGAATATATCCAGTTTTGTTTTTCTCTGAAATTTGCTTCTGAACCTGACTTGGAGTGGCTTGCTGGATTCAGGGTGCTCAAGGGTGTGCGATTGGCAGAAGGGCATGGCATGAGCTCAGAGGGGGTGGTTGCTGTGAGAGAGGGTATGCGAGAGGCGGGGAAGGTATGGCATGAGCAAAGTGGGGCTCCGGGTGTGCATGGAGGTGGAAGACTTACCTGAGCAACTTACAACTTTCCCTGTTGGTTTCCCCATTGACTTTGCTTGTGGGAACCCAGCAGGGAATGTTGCAAATTGCAAACGCGAGATCACGGGGTGCTGCAACTACTATAAGTAAAAGCCAGGCACCAAGTATTCAGATCATGATCTCATGACCAGGGGGTGCTGGGACAGCCAAAACTTTGATGATCAATCTTAGCCACCACTCATTCAGCACCATCATAACTTCAAATGGTTCATGAATGAGCGGTCATTAACCAAGAGCTACCTGTCGTTTTAATTTTATTCCCACCAGTTGTAGTAATATACATTTTCAAAATACTTTACCTTCTTTGGTGTTCCTAACACCTGGCAAATTTTGAAAATTTCATCAACTTCACTTGTTCCAGGAAAAAGTGGTCTTAGTGTATATAGTTCAGCCATTATGCTACCAACAGCCCAAATGTCAATCGGAGAACTATAAACAGAAGATCTCAATAAAACTTCAGGTGCCCGATACCTGAAAAGAGTGAAGAAAGATTGATAACTTGTCAAGAGGCTTATAAAATAAGTGAAATCCACCATTAAAACTCACACTTACCATCTGGTGGAAACATAATCCGTGTATGGAGGTTGAGATCGTAGTTCTCTAGCCAATCCAAAATCAGCAATTTTAACAAGTTCTGGACCCATACAAAGAAGGTTTTCAGGTTTCATATCTCGATGAAAAAATCCTGTAAACATGAATGTAGAATAAACACATAACAATGGTGTAGATTTCAAATTCTACTAATAATAGGATTCTTTATTTTGAACTACTTGGATTGCCATAAAAATCTGCTTTTAAATTTTGTTTTCAAACATAATACAGGCTTAAATATAGGCTTCAAAAATTTATCGATCAGGTATAACTGGGAGCTAATCTATTTCAGAGATCTGTTACTAACTGAATCAAACTATGTTTAAGTCACTGGGTCAACTACATTTGATTCAGTGATCAAAACTTTAAAAGAGATGTTTTTTTGAGAAATAGAATGAAATTAAGAATAGTGTATATTTAATGAACAAAAACAAATAAGTAGGTCAGATTTTTTCATGATTAAAATAAATTTAGCCTAAGCATCATTCACCCTACATTTAACGTAAACATCTTCATACCCTTTTGAATTAATTCAGCCAAAACTGTTTCTTTTAAAAGAATATCATTCACAGCAATAATAATCTTTGAAATTTGTTCTCCCCCTCCCCTTACAGAATCAGTTAAAACTTGCAATAATATCACAACTGATATTAGAAATCAGGAATCTGATTCTCTGAAATAGATAACAGCAAGACCAAGGTGGGATTAGGGGTAGATTTGATGACAAAAAGATCATAAAATATTACAATATAAAGAATAAAACTGAGAGAGAGAGAGAAAATGTCAGGTAACTAACATTTTAAGATGTAACAAATTAAATGTTTCTGTTTCTCATAATAACTATAGACTATTCCAAATTCATACACTCCACTACTAAAGGAGTGTCTTCTATAGATTTCTATAATACTGCACCTGGCCCTACAATTTCTGTTGGTGCAGAACACTATAAAATGTACTGCCTGCATTCTAATAACAAATGGATAGGAAAATTTGTACCCTCCAATAAAAATTAGGCAGCCAAACATGATATATACAAAGGCACAGAACTACTTTATTAAAATTAATACCATCTCTTAGAGACTACACACTATGAAATATGACAGCCCATTACAGTAATCACAAATGTGAACAAAGTGAATTAGAATTTAGTGTGGTTTTGGAATAAGTGCTGGTCATCAAAAACCTGATGAACTTACAAAAAAGTGTCCCCTACAAGATATCAAAGGATTAAACCTAATCCATACTTCCCTTTGGAGTAGTTTTTTGTGCCCAAATATAGCATTGCTCTGGATGGAACCCTATGCCAAGAAACTGTAACAATGACTACCAACAATTAACTAATGTAGTTACTGGGATTTTGCTTCTGAAACATTTGATTCTCAAAATAATCTGATTTTTCTCTAAAATAATTTATTTAGCAATTATTTTAAACACTTTATCACTGAAATATTGGTACCATACATCACATGTCTATTATGTCTTCTTATGTTTGATAAGGTGTATATTAGCATATTCTAATACTACACAATAACAGCAATACACTGTACTCACCATGTTTATGGATAAAAGCTAACCCTTGTAATATTTGATACAAAATGTTCCTGATGACAGACTCCGGAAACAGTTTATTTCTGTAATGCAACAAATTAACAAGGTGAAGAAAAACAGGATTTTTTTCAGATAAAAACAAATATGCTTTACTATTTATTTATCCAATGCCTTAACCACTTTTTAAAAATAAAAATCATTGTAACAGATAAGTGACCTTAAAGAATTCAATTTTCAACAAAAACAGGTCTTCTGTTAATAAAAAATACTAAGAAGCAGGAAAAGTTCTTAGTTGGAAAAAGGAGAAAAGTGCATTATTTCCTCTTTCAAAATCCTACATAGCCTGTCATAACTTTGGTACACTAGAAAAATGTTTCAGTCTTTGGATCTTATTATTATGGTTTATGATGAAGTAGCAATCAAGTGTGTGGCTTATTTGGGGAGAAATAATAAAGAGGTTTAGGGGTAAAAATTCTAAAATTTATTTTAGGAAAAAAAGATACCATTTGAAATGCAATATTTTGCTACCAAATACTAATATTATAATCTGAGAGTAGCATAAGTGCCAGGGGTTTTCCATTTCTGGCTTACTGTATAATATGAATTCATTATGGTTTTTTACCATTATATCTAACATGGAGAGCCAGTTTGATGTAATAGTTAAGGTGCTGGTCTAGAAACCAGGAAAGTAATCCTGCCTTAAGAATGAAAAACTGGTTGGATAACTTTGAGCCAGTCACTATTTCTCAGGACAATTCACTCATCGGGTTGTTGTTGTGATTCAAATAGGAAAGAAAGGAATATTTCTTTCCATGTTTGCTATCTTATTAATAAAAAAAATGCAGGTGGGATTTTTAAACAATCTAATAAACATCAAAAGTTATATTTTACTAAACTATCAGTGTGGTTTGTGATGCACAGAGAATTATTAAAGAATGTGAAAACAGCAAATTGGTTCTAAACATACCTGTCTTTCATTAGCTGATACAGATTTTCCTTCATATATTCAAACACAAAATACAGATGGTCATTTTCTCGAATGACTTCTTTCAGCTTTATTACATTGGCATGATTAAGTTTTTTCAGAGACTACAAGAAAACAAATAGTTTTAATGGGAGAGGTTAGTTCAAACTTGAATAGAAGTATTTACCAATTATAAAGGCATATAGATTTCATTTCCATTATGACTTAGGATGCAAACTAAACCTAATGTGTAGATCTTTAAAATTTATCAAGTATATTGCCATAAAATCTATATGTGAGTTAAATTTGTCTGGGTGCCTTTTCTTCCTTGTTTATCTAGCCCAAGAATGTCAAACTCAATTTCACTGAGAGCTGCCTCAACATTATGGGTGCCTTCAAAGGACCAGTTGCTGTCCCCTTCTCTCCCTCAGGCGTGCCCCAGAGAAGCCTCTCCTATCCTATCCCCTTCTTTTCCTCAGGCTTGCCCCACCAACATCTCTCCTCTCCTTCCTATCGCCTTCTCTCACCCCCACTGCTCCTCGTTCCCACCAAACCCCCTCCTTTTATATCCTCTCCTCTCTCATGCGTTCATTCACTGTCTGGCCGGCCCTTTCACGCAGCATTCATCAGCTGCAGTTGCGTGCGCTGATTTTAGGGTCCCCGCAAGCCTCGGCAGTTTGACAGTTCCAGCTGACTCTTCCCCCAAAGACTACGGGCCAGTAGCCCCAATCAGCTGGAGCCGCATGCGCAGAGGCCCAGCAACACTGCAGCTCCAGCTAACTCTCCCTCAGACCTCTCTGACCCTGGCGCCGCTTCAGCTCACACCCCCTCACTACATAGTCAATAACCTCCTCCTACTAGTCTGCTTGCAGGCCAGATCTAAATACATCACAGGCCCATGAGCCTTGAGTTTAACATGTCTGATCTAGTCTATACAATCCAGATGAAATTATTGCTCACAAAAAGCTCCACTAGAGAAGGCTGAAAAGGGGAGAGGAGATTGCATTTTAGCATAGACAAATCCAATTGCATAAACTATTCTCGTATAAAGCAAACCAAATAGAACAGAAACACAAATTATTAGCCTTTAGTCAGCAAATAGCTTTCTTCAAGGGTACTTTAAGAAGCCTTCAATCTGGGATATGACCTTCAACTAGGCTGGCATGCCTTTTTATGGTACGAGAAAGCTAAAATACATAAGTACTTTCAAAATCATGCTATAAGAAATGTTTTACTCTCTGAATGGGAGAAAGCTAGACACAAAATGTATATGAAAATTCTTGAGTGGCTTTCAACGATGGAAGCATTTGCTTATCTGAATTTGATTAATTATGATAAACTTGTGAGTTATAAAAACATTTTGGACAAGGACGGAAAACTCAAAGACAGGCAAGCCCTTCAACAACAAAGTATTGACTTAACATGGTGGTCCTATTTGCAAATTCAAATAAGATATGAAAAAGACATAAAAATAATGGGATTTTACAAAGAGCTGAGTCCACTTGATAAAATACTTTTAAAACAGATGAACATTTGATTAAGAAGCTTTATAAATACTTATTAAATTGAAAGATGGAAGAACAAGTAAAAGAGACAATGATAGTATGGGCGAAGAACTTTGGATATTCTATAGAATTAGAAGACTGGAAAAAACTGTGGGATAAAAATATCAAACTTACTAAAGCAGTAACATACAAAGAAAACTTACATAAAATGTTTTATAGATGGCATATGACACCAGTTCGCTTAGCAAAAATGTTTAAAAATTTATTGGATACATGTTGGAAATGTAAACAAAAACCAGGTACTTATTATCATGCCTGATGGATATGTTCTATTGCAAAAAAATATTGGTCTAAGATTCATAGACGGTTAGAAAAGATGATGAAAATCCAGATAGAATTTAAACCGGAATTGTTCCTGTTAGGTATATTAAGACCTAACTATAGCAAAGAAAATGATTATTTAATATTACATGTATTAACAGCTGCAAGAATAGTATCTGCCCAATTTTGGAAAAATGAAAACCTACCATCAGACGAGATTATAATTTTGAAAATCCTAGATTGTGCAGAAATGGACAGATTAACGTTAGAGATGAAGGAGAAAGAAGATTTAATTTTTTATAAAACCTGGGGAAAATTTTATCAGTGGGTTGAAACACATTAGAATAAGAGATTTTAGAGCTTTATTATATTAAGTATTAAGGTTGATGATTGGAAATAGTTGTTATGCTATCAACTATGTTAATTGTTTAAAGGAATATTAGTGTTTTGCCAAATGTCAGTTGTAACTATACCGATTTATTCTTATAAATGTCTAGTATTATATAAACAATAATATTCAATATGAAGACCCGGAAAACAGCTTGTTCGCTGAATTACGTATTTACTGTAGTTATCCACACCCTGTCCCCTTTATCCTGATTTTCCTGTACCCACATCGACCCCACCTTTTCCCTACCCACATAAAATCTAATAAAATATATTTTTTAAAAAAAGAAGCCTTCAATCTATAAATGACTTTTACCAATACCAGTTAGACAAGATCTTAACAATTCATTTTTTTTCTTTCTAGATATTGATTATAGAAAAGAATTAGAATAGCAAATCTGGAATATTTACACTGAACGTAATTTATCAGGTCTAACCATATTATTAAAATTATCATACTGCTCTAATTACCTTAACTTCCCTCAGATTCATACATTCTTCCCAAGTATAGAACTTTCTTTTCATTCTGAAATAAAAGTTAAAAGAAATCTTTAAAACAAGAGAATTGTACCCCCCCCCCAATTTTGTAAAACCGTTAAAATATACTGAGTTTCAAAATATTATTACACAGGCTTTTATTTTAAGGAAAGTCTAACAGGAGAAATACCCCTGTTTTGAGAAGTTATTTCTTTTAAAAATCCAGAATTGAATTAAAAGATTTACTTGGGACCATTTTGACAGTTACTGTTTATAATATTCAAAATTCCTCCTAATTCACCAACATGGTCCCAAATTTGTATAGCATCTAAATAAATTCAAAAGCTAGTGCAGATTTATTATCTTCTATCAGTTTCACAAGGAGGGAATTCAATTTTTTCAAATGGGGGAAGGACAGAATAACCAAAACTACTTCTCTCTTATTTTCATCCTGCTAGCCAAAACCAAATAGAACAATAACCTGAAATTTTCAATGTCAAAATGCTTTAAGATAATAGGTTGAAGGTAAAGTGTCCTTTGAGTTAAGTTCAACTTTTGCTGACCTTATGAAGAAATGCTACCGTAAAGTAACAACATTAGTCTGCCTAAGCAGCATGTGTAAGAAAGTGTAATACAGCAAAGAAAGGCATATGCAGCAAAGTGAAAAAAAAGTTATGACAGCACAATCATATAATTTGATCTCACAGAGATCTCAGAAGCTGACATGTATAGGACTCCGTTGTTAAGTATTAAACGAACATGAGGATATGATGGCACATACCTTTTGATGGCCACAAGCTCCCCTGATTCAATGCTCTTCCCCAGCAGAACACTGCCATAGGTTCCATCCCCAAGTTGCTTCAGAGTTGTATAACGGTTCATTTTGTAAAGTAAGGTAGCCAAATGTTCAAAAATCTTGAGTGATTCTTTTTCAGAATGGTGCTGTTATATGAGTAGGTAACCTGTCATAGTAGTTGCTTAAGTCATCAGTCTTCTTTCAATATTATAACCACTCTATCCAGAAATAATATAGTAGCAAATGGAGAAAAACTGCCATCCTTACATGGATCCTTGATAACAAAACATATTATATAGGAAATGTTAAACACAAGGGATTGCACTGGTATAACATACAATACTAAATTAATATTCTTAATATAAAATTATGCATTCAATGACGATTGGACCTAAAACAAAACTTTCTGGCAAGTTATAGCAGTTCGACTTACAACAGCTCATTTAGTGACCGTTCAAAGTTACAGCACTGAAAAAAGTGACTTATGACCATTTTTTATAGTTACAACCTTTGGAGCATCTCCATGATTATGTGATCAAAATTCGGATGTTGGGCACTAGTTCTTTCTTATGACCATTGCTGTATCCCAGGGTCATGTGGCCACCTTTTGCAACTTTTTGACTAGCAAAGTCAATGGGGAAGTCAGATTCACTTAACAACCAGGATACTAAGTTATTAACTGTGGTGATTCACTTAAGAACTGTAGCAAGAAAAGACATACAATGGGGCATCTCATTTAACAACCAAAATTTTTGGCTCAGTTGTGACTGTAAGTCGAGGACTACCAGAATCCTTTTTTACCTCTATAGTTGCACAGGACTCCATCTGTATTCAGAATCTATTAATATTGATTAAGGCACCAGGCTAGAAATTGTAGGACTGTGAGTTCTAGTCCTGCCTTAGCCATGAAGATCAGCTGGCTGACCTTGGACCAGTCACTTTCTCTCAGCCCGATCTACCTCACAGGGTTGTTGTTGTGGGCAAAATAGGAGGGAGGTGTGTTGGATATGCCTGCCGCTTTGACTTATTTGTAATAATAATAAAGACAGGATATAAATAGATAAGTAAATAAATATATTAAAAAAGCAAGCAAGGAAGCACACTATACTTCGTGTATGGAATATATCCAATGTAATTATTATACACGTTAGAATTATACATTTACCCATGTCTGGGAGAAGAGGCTAGGCAACATACGCTTTTTATCATTTGATTTGTTTTAAAGAGGGAAAAATGCAATGAAGAGGTTTAGTCATATTTCTTTGACTTATTTTATTCATACTCATATTTTTACGTAAAGTTTTTTTTTAAACATATCACACTTCTTGTGTAGTATTATTATCTTGCAGATTCAGATTTCCAGGCTGGTTATATTTAAAAATATGGGAACAAATACTTCTACTTCCTTTATTTTTATTCTTGAATTTAATAAAGAAAATAAAGAAAACAAAGAAATCCATCAATGGGCTGAATTATGAAACATATATTTCTGGAATACTCTTACATGTTTTATATATTATAGTGATAAAATGAAATACTGACACTGCCATTAATCTATACCTGAAATCCACAAAGGAAACTTATATGCTGTAAGAATTAACTGGGTACATAAGGTGCAAGAGGAAGTGAAACAAATATTGGAATATATAGAGGGTTCTCTTTTAGAGGTTAGAACCGGAAATTTAATTTAAATTTGTTTTAAAAAATTAATGCATTTCACTGCAGGTAATGCTATTGGTTTTGTTTAATGATGTAACAGAGGAAGTATAGAAGAGGGTATAAAGCCTGAAAAAGGAAGCAAGGAGCAAAACGTAACTGTCCATTTATTATTTAATTCTATACCTGATTCTCAATACTTTCATACTCTTAAATACTCTATAAGTATTATTATTCCATCAGATAACTTCCATACAGGCCTACAGAGTATTCCATACAAGCCCACAGAGTATTTTATACAATCTCATCTGACTCAGATGCAGAACTGGCATATTCCCAAGGCAACATCTTGGAGAAAGAGGAAAGATCCTATTGTAAACAACAGATTGTTCCTTATTGATGAGAACATGCTACTAATAATCTACTCAAGCAGCATTAAGAAAGGATTACAGGAGAGGACAGGCAGAGGACATATTAACACAACTCAGCAATTCTTAGCAGTATGAGAAAAAATCGGGAAAAAATTGCACAACGTATTATTGTCAAAGATAGAGAAAGATAAACTATACTTCCCAATCTGGATTTTACCACTATTGAGAAATTATGTGTTTACTGAGCACAGGTTCCACTAAAACAGATTATTTATAGATTCTGGTTTTCTGTTGATACAATGCAAACACTAATTAATATCATTCTACCGTTATGTCAATACGTAATGGCATGTTTTTTAAAATTGGGCGGAGTGACTGTTTCTATGCAGAAAATATGTTTCCATATTTCTGACTTTGGTGTGGCTTTTTAATATTAAAATAATAATAAAAAACAACATGTTAAGAAGTACAGTTATCATAGTCTATGGAGATCATGCTTATAAAGATGCTTTAAGATATATAAAGCATTTCACATAAATCTCATGCTGGATTCCTAATACTAAATCCTATAAATAACTGGACCAACAAATCACTGGATTGTGCTATTAACTCTTAATTATTCTAGGTTAATATTTGATGGACCTTACTCATAGAAACTTTATTTTTAAAGGCTATACTCTATGGATGCTCAATTTTACTTTTCATTTTTATGTTTTCTCATTGAAACAGTAAAACAAAATAACTTTTAATTAACAAAATAAGTTTTAATTCTCACAAAAGAAATCAAAGGCAGAATTCATATATATTATGCAAGTAAAAGCCCAGTTATTCTCATATTGCAAAAACATTGACTTCAAGAACATTCATAACAACAGCTACACAATATTCATTACTGTTATATTTAGTTTTTAATCTGGAAATAACTTTAAATCTTTTTTCAAATAGTAGGACTGATGGAAGGTGGCCACAAATGTAAATTCATAAAATGTACTTTTTTTAAAATAAAAGAGACCAGAAAATCTATTTCTTCATATACAAGTATACAATAAAATGCCTTGAAAAGGCAAAGTTAGATGCTACCCCCTCAAAACTCTGTTATTAACAATTGTAAATTGAAGGTATTTTGATTATGAAAAAAAAAGAAATGTATCTGAAATCAGCAGGATTTCCTTCAGTCTTCTTCCTTGTTTACTTTTACAGGATAAATTGTTGTTGTTGCTAAACACTGACAAGGTGTTACCAAGGTAGTAAAACAGATATTGCACATTCATGCAGTCCTACGAAAACTAAAGCCTTCTTTAGACTTGACATGAATTAAACTTTATTTTCTTTGTGTCTGTACATCTGTCATCATTTCTATATTTTCTGAAATTTTGTTCAAGTCACTGCAAAATTAAGTTTTTAAGAGCATTCCACCATTTATTACACAATATTTTCTTCATTTCCTTAAAAATATTTTACTAATTTAATAGAAGATACTTCTAACACTTCAATCCTCTGAAGAATTGAGTATACCCATCGAATACTATGTAGAGTAGTTATGTCTGCTTGTGCAAAATGAAGTCAAAATACTGGATGTAATCCTTTTCAGTAATAAAAATACACTTTCTGTAAACCCAACAGCTTTGTGCTACTGAACAAAATTCGGTAACTGAATCACCAGATTACTTCATTAAACTTCTCACCAAATTAGAGGAAGAAATATTTAACTTCACAGTAATAAATCTGAACCGTAGAATGTTTAAATATATTATTTTGTTACATACAAAAGATTAGCGCCATGTAACTAACTGTGCTTCATTCTGATCAAATTATATAAATGTACAAAGGAAAGAAATATCTCTCCTACTGTAGAATCATTGCTTCATCTATGCACACTAATGCTAAGATCAAAATTCTCCAACTCCACACTTCATAGTATGATTACAAATAATTATTTTGCAACAATGTTGCAAATGTACTAATTAGACTCACATAGTTCATCTATGAAAATGTTTTCATTGTAAAAAGCAAAGGCAAAATGTAGGCTATTTCATACACAGTCATCACACCTATTTTATACTTACAAAATAAAAACTACAAGTGCAGATGATTCTAAAGGACTAGAAACCTCTCTTACAAGAGAACAATCACGTTGTCAGCAGAAGTGTGTCATTAGCTTATCAACTAAACCCCCATATTCCAATTGTCATTCCAAGCCTGGACAGTTGTTGGGTAACTTTGTATTATCATATTTTCCTAGTTCAAGAGATTGTTGAGAAAATAAAATATGTAAAAAACTAAAATATTGAGTTTTTGAAGTATAATCAGTAATGAATAAATAAAATTGGAACGTTACTGCACATATTTAACTGTTGCCCACTGAAATTTAAGTTTTAGAAGATTTAACTTTGGCCACTCAGCCCAAACAATTCCATATCCACCTTATGCCTAGGATTCATAGGGCTTATTCTCAACTTAATAATGGGCTGAGTGGCAAAATTGAAAATAAATGTCCGAGTCTTTCTTTTGAGCAGAAGTGCACAAAATCAAATTGTAATGCAACAATACTTGTACACCTAAGGGGAAAAAAGTCCGGGGGAAAAAATCGACCTATAAGTTTGTTCTTGTATTTAGTTTCTACAGATGCTTTGGAACTTCAGTTCCCATCAGCCTCAGCCCTGAAGTCCAAAACAGCTGAAGGGACCCACGAGTCCGGTTCTGCTCCGGACGAGTTCCGCAGGAAAACCTATCCCTGTTTCTACACGCCGTGACCGCCCAAGCCTTTCTCTTCCTCCTCCTCCTCCCACCATCACCCCATCTTCTCTTCGCTAGTAGTCACTACTACTCCGTCCTCCCTCGCCGCACACTCACTGCTGAACTCTTGGCCGCCCAGGGAGGGTCCAGGGCCTCCTCCGGAGCCGCCTTTCCTTAGCTGCCTCATCCCACCTCCGAACCGTCGGCAGCGCCCTCAACACTGCCGAGGCCGGACTCTGCACCGGCTTGTCACCTTGGCAACAGCCTTCTCAGCGAATCCTCAAGCTAACTTGCCGACGCGAGCGAGCTACGAACGGAGTGGGCGGGACTTAAGAGAAGAAGAAGGCAACACAGGCGTGGAGCGGAGGAAAAGACGTATGGAATCAGAGGGGGCGCTCGCGCTCGCCATTGCTTCGAATTTCTGATTGGCTGAGCTCGGAGACGATTCCTGAGCGGCCGCCGCCGGGATGACGCGCTGCGCAGAACGTGATTTATTCCTCATTTCACGCAGAGGGACCATTTGGAACAGCGTGGGAAAGAAAATTGGAAGCCCATAGGAATCGTTGGCTGATGGTTATCACCAACTCTTTTAATTTGCTCAAATACCCTTTAGCTACAACTTTCTCGAGCATTGTTTCTCAACTTGGCAACTTCCCCAGCATGCTGGCTGGAGTCCACACAACTCAAAAGTTGCCAAGGTTAAGCCACACTGTTCCTAGATCATAAAGCATATTAAAGACAGTAATTGAGATCTCCCAACACACTGAGCTAGGAACTACAGTAATGGGTGCTCATCACTGGTGATTTTTAATAAGAGATCGGACAACTATCTGAAATCATATAGGGCAGTGGTTCTCAACCTGTGGGTCGGGACCCCATTTGGGGTCGATCGACCATTTCACGGGGGTCGCCAAGCAACGTCGTCCGTCATTTTTCCCCCCCTTTTCCTTAGCTGTGCTACTCCCTTTTATTCTATTGGCTTTTGAAAGCCAATAGAATAGACTCTCTTGAATAGAGTCTAATTCTATTGGCTTTCCAAAGCCAATAGGAATTGTCCAGGCTGTCTCTGCCCTGCTGAGCATACCAAAAGCCTCCTTCTGCAAACGGTGCTGCACCAGTTGAGTAGTCCTCAATTTACGACCGGTTGAGTAGTCCTCGACTTACAACCAGTTGGGGGTCGCGGCATTAAAAAGGTTGAGAACCACTGGTATAGGGTCTGCTTGAGTGGGGGTTGGGCTAAAGACCTCCAACTCTTATTCTGCTACTACAGTGTTTCCCAAACTTGACAATTTTAAGGCATGTGGACTTCAACTCCCAGAATTCCACAGCCAGCAACACTGCTACTATAATCACTTTTAATTTGGCATGTTGTACAAAATTACAAAAAAAGGTTGATTAAATTCACCATCAGCTATGGTTATTCATGGATAACCAAGTCATACAAGCCCAGCTAATCAGACTTATTACTTAATAGTAACCAATTACAGACACTAAGCCACTTTGAGCTCTGTACTGCTTGAATAAAGGATTACCAGTAGCTTATTCTGGGAAATCAGAAGCACTCTGGACGAAGACACTGGCAAACCATTTCTGTACTACTATAAAAACAAAGGGGAACAAAAGCACAACTGTATGAAATCACCAGCATCTCAGCTTGAGTCAAAAATGCATATGAAATGGCAATGTCACTCATGTCCCATGGAGCCCAGTACATTTTTGGGAGAGCCTGTTCTAGCACAATCTGCTGCCAGCCTGAAACACCACTGTTATGAGAGAATGTTGAAAGGCTCCAGAGATGCACTGTTTCCTCTGATATAGGAACTAGCCCATCAAATAAACTATTACAATATGGCTTATTAGCTTAGGCATAGCATCCTGTGTAGATACAGGAGAATCTACACAGAATACCCTAAAGTTTTCTTGACTGCACTATTGTAAAATATCTGCAGAGTTGTTTGTCTTCCTTACCACAGATTTTAACTTGTGTTGACAGATAAATTGATTCCACTGCAAGTCAACTGTGTAAAAAAAAACAAAAAACAGATAACAGTCTCCATTCTCTAAAGTCTAAAGGATAAACTGTTGAAAACATCACATCTTCTCAGGTTAAAGAAAGTTCAAAAGAAACTTTATGACTAATGCCATAAATTAAATTACGTGTGAAACATTCCTGCTATTGTTTACAGAACATGCTTCTAGATTTAAGTCCTAGCTTAATGAAGAAGAGAAAAAAACAGACTAATTTGCATTCAAATAATAAAGAAGAAATACAATGCCAGTTCTAACATATCAAGGTAAGCTACATGTAAGTGCAACTTGTTTGCAAAATAGGTATATGCAAACTTTCTTCAGGGAATTTCCCCATCCAGTCACCTGAATCTCATATAGACTGGGCCTTTTGTGGCAGTTCTGTAAATTCTGTAAATTGGAAATTCCGTGTTCGGAATTGAAAGTGATTCAATTCAATTCAAACAGAACTGTTTCATTTGGCACGCCATGTCTAAGTTCCCTTGAATTACCTCCAGTTGAAAGGATTCAATTTTGGAAAGATTTACTTTTAGAAACCACAGGACTTGCCCCTCAACGGCATGGTCCAGAGTGGGAAATACAACAGTCTAAAAATCTTCATGTTTGTTTGATTTTGTTTGTTTGTTCAATTTATGTGGCTGCCCATCTCAGTCAATAAGTCTGGGCAGCTTACAATTCAGAAAATATTATTAAAAATACTTTAAAACAGTAAAACCAGTAAAACATCCAATTCAAGATACACAAGAGCAAGATATTTGGCTTTTAGCAATATAGCCAGGAAACGGGCTTCTTAGTACATTCAGTCCCCCAGGCTGGGAAACATAGCCCAGTTGTTAAGGCCTTATAAAACCCTAACAGAGTTGGGGCCATTCTGATCTCTGAAGGGAGGATGTTCCATAGAGCAGGGGCCTTCTGGTTCCTGCCATTCGACATTCTTTGGCTGACGGGATCTGCAGCATTCCCATTCTGCTTGACATAGTTGGACAAGTAGCGACTCTTGAAAAAAGGTGATCCCTCAGATACCCCAGTCCCAACCCATGTAGAGCTTTATAGGTGACCACCAGCACCTTGAATTGTACCTGGAAACACATCAGTAACTAGTGTGGCTCATGCAGGATTAGTGTTGTTCTCCAAATGGTGGATTTTGTATAGCTAATACCATTCAGATTTCCATGAAAAATTTGATCGAAACAGCAGTGGAAAATTATACAGTACTTATATGCTGTTTATAAATTTTGAGAGAGCAGCATGTGGCTAACAACATAACTCAATATTATCTAATATTATCTAATATTAGATAGTCTCAGAGCCTTTTCCCACTTGCCCCGAACCATAGCCATACATAAATCTGCACAATATTGCCTTCTGCTTTTCCCCACCCCATGAATATGAATGTCATAAGTTGTCAGTAGCAATATTAATGTTAAGATTAGTGTTTTCAACAGCCAACAGAATACAACTGAAAAATGTGTAAAATCTCTTCTGATTATCAACCCATTACACTGGAGCTGTAATCAATGAGTAGGAATAGGTAGAATTAGAGATGTGTTTTATTGACTATTTCAGGGTAAATATGAATACATATCCCTCCCCTTCAATCCCTAATTACCTTTGTTTCCTTGTAGAACTGAATTTTACAGGGATTGTGCTGGTGATTATTTTGATTAATGGAAGAGCTGTCCTTTAGCATAAGGAGTCTTTTTGCTGTTTTCTCACAGCTTACTCTAAATTCCTGCCACAAACACAAGTGTATCCATGTGACAATGTTTCACCTGAAATGGCAGAAGCAGCCGATAGCCAGTAAATGTAAATGGTAGTTAGTATGCTAGTCTGTTGAGGTAGCAGTGCTGTAAGTGTGCAAGGTAGTGGTTGAAAGACCAACTCATACACACTTATACAGATACGCCTCCTACCCACTGCTTCCTGAACAACATATACCCGTAGGCACACATGTACAATGCCTTCTGAACAAAGGAGCAGATTTGGAAGTCAACATTTACTGCCATTCGGAAGGAAGGAAAGAAAAAGGAAAGGAAAGGAAAGGAAAGGAAAGGAAAGAAGGAAAGATACCCTAAATAAAAATGCTTTGTGACTCAAATCCTTTCATGACTCCATTTTTGTTGTTTTGCTTTATTTGTCTTGGATTATAACAGAAGGCGGTATAGTGGAAGAAGCCTATAGATGTTGGACATAATCATGCAGTCAGAGCTACCCTTTTTTTCTACAGGCTGCTAACGTGCTGCTGATGGAGAGAGGAATTAACTGGTTCCTTTGCTTATCCTGCACTACAGATGCTTAATCAGGACAGCATCATCCAACAGTGACTTGGATCAGATGTAGCAAAGGCAGGATGAGCATGATGTTTTAACCAACATGCTGTGGCAATATAAAGCCATATATCAATAATGCATTGCCGTAACAATGGCTCAATGGCATTATTAACCAATAGTACAGATGGTCTTTTACCTAAAATAGTTTTATACATGTTGGTTAAAGCAGGGGTCCTCAACCTTGGCAACTTTAAGACTTGTGGACTTCAATTCCCAGAATTCCTCAGCCAGCCAGCCAGTTGAAGTCCACAAGTCTTAAAGTTGCCAAGGTTGAGGACCCCTGGGTCAAAGCATTAACAATTTGGATGGTTTTAAGGTGCCACAGCCTATTTTTCGTTTCCTTCTAAGTTTCACCATCTGCAGCTGGTAAGGCTATGGATTATGAGAGTTGTGGTCCAATATTCTGTTATAATTACACCATATTGTTTTATGGCTCTCCTAGATTTTAGAATGAGCCTACCAGGAAACATGATAGTATTCCAGTATGCTTTAGAATTGAAAAGGGATATATATTTGGAGTAATCTTGTACAAGTCTGCAAAACAAGCTCTGTTGAATTTAATTGGATTTATTTTCAGGTAAATGTGTAAAGATTTGTTGCCTCAGTCTAGATAAAAAAAGGATGTTTACTTCAGCTTAATACTCATTATTAATTGGATTTTAAAGATGCCTGACTCCAAGAAGAATATGAGTGGTTTACAATATTTAAAATATAAAATATATAATTAAAAAAAATTAAAGAACACAAGTACCTACAAAGACAAAACGACAGCAGGGGTCCACAACCCCTGGGAAAGAAGAACAAGTATTAAGCAGAAGATCTACAGAAGGTTTAGTAGTAAGAATCAATCAATATAATGCTGATAAATGTAACTTTATGCATCTGTGTTTATTTATATGTGTTGTTCTTTACAA